ATGGCCTCTCTCGCCCTCTTTCGCTCTCTTTTCAAATCCTTCGTCAAGCCCTTCCTCTCCAAGTTCTTTCAGCGTCTCCTCGAGGACCGCTCTGCTCCATCGCTGTATTGACATAGTATTCGTTTTCTTGACGTCGTCCATCATCAAACGCTCCTCTGTAACGGTGATTCATCGAGCCCACATAATTGGCACCATACTGAGGATACTGCTGGCTGTATGCGCTCGGGCAGCCGTAACCAGGATATCAATGACCTGCCCTTGCTGCCCTCATCCACGCCGGCGACAGTGTTTCGAAGCTGGCTTATCGTTAGCTGGAATCAAGCACCTCAATAACGCATCCAACGTGCCTTGTTGAACCGCAGGATTTTGCGTCTGATGCCCGCCATCTGTAGCAGATGAGAGAGGGCATGGCCGTGTACGCTGCCCCAGGGTCAAGTGGGAGGTATGGCGAATACCAGGAGGGCAAACGATGCAATCAACGCTGGTGCTCGCTGGGACAGCAACCCCGAATCCTAGAGCTCCTTCTCTTGTATGACTGAAATGCTTTCGCTGTGTCTTCTCCGTGGCGGGATGGAGGAACGAGATAAACGCCTTGAAGAACGAGGCAAACGCCTTGATGGCGGAGAGACGGACCTGGATCGAGTCAATATGCATTGCTCACACTCAATCATGGCGTCCAAGTCTTACCTCGACACTGCTGTCCTTGAAACCCTTGAGGAAACCCTCCTGGAAGAAGTGGATCGCGTGGGTAGCCAGCCGTTGTCAAACACCATGTGAATCTGCCTGCGCCATGCCCACCCCGAGTCCTGGGAACAAGGTCGTTTAGAACTATACCTTTTAGTCAGTAATGTTTCAAGTTCCAGGGAGCAAGACGAGATTCGTGTACCGTTGGAGCATGCATAGCTCGAGGCATGGAGGCAATGACATACTCCGTCAGGATCCAGGATAGTACCTCCACCCCATACCTTGACATGCATTCCAGTAGCCAAAAGGAGGGAATGTCGTCCCCCTGGTGACGCCTCATGGACGTGGTCAATGGGCTAGCTTTGCAAGTCAATCGGTTGCCATCAGGCTTCGTGCAAAAGATCACTATGCTGTGCTCAAATGCTTCTCAAGAGGCTCTGGATGTACCGAATGATGCCACATAGTGGCTTTCGCTCTTTCCAATGGCTGGAAAACGATAGGCTGACATGGAAATCCCCACTGCCTGGCCCAATGATCCCGTTTCTGGCAGGCAGGCTGCGGTTCCCTTGGCCTGGGGCACAACAAACTCATCCCTCGCAGGCTTGCAGCATTGTCTTCCCCCTTCACTACTCATAGATTTGAGCTCCATGCTATACTGAGCCTGGCAGAGCCTCTCATTGTCTTGCTGCAATGGTCTGCAGTGTGTCTACCTGGCTCGCAAGCCCGTTTGTTTACTCCTGCAGTGCGTCTGCTTCTGAACCACGAAAGAGTCCCACAGAGGCCCTTCCAACCTGCACCACTACTCCCACGAGCGCTCTCTCTGCTTCAGCCTCGATAAAGACCTCTCTTCTTCAGCATCGACGAAGAAAACCTCGACGAAGACCTCTCTCCCTTCTTCTGCCTCGACGAAGACAGCCTTGATGAAGACAACAGTGACGAGACAACCTTGATAAAGATCTTCAAAGTTCGACAAAGACCTCTCTCTCTTCTTCTGCTTCGACGAAGAAAGCCTTGTCAAACCTCGACGGAGACTTCTCTCTTCTTCTGCCTCGACGAAGACAGCCTTGACGAAGACCTTCCAACCTCGACGGAGACTTCTCTACCTTCTTCTGCCTCGATCAGACCTCTCTTCTTCAGCCTCGACAAAGACAACCTTGACGAGACAGCCTTGACGAAGACCTTGCCAGTACCTGGTTCAGCAAAGCTGGTATGGCCACTGTCCGCAAGATGCCCACAGCGACGCTTCTGACCTCCTTTTAGCTTGCAATAAGTGGCATGAGACCGAGCTCGAGCGCTGGCTCTCGGATCATGATGTTCCCTACCTATTCCTGCGGACAGAAAAGACCTCGAGAACCTCGTCAAAGAGAATTGGCAGGCCAAGGTGGTCGACGAAGACTGCTCCCTCTTCTTCAGCCTCGACAAAGACAGCCTTGAAGACAGCCTCGAAGACAACATCGGCGAGACAATCCTGACGAAGACCACTCTCTCTTCTTCAACCCTTGACCAAAGACCTCTCGGCAGCCTTCGACTGCCCATGCCCAAGCCGTTGTCTCTTTGCCGCCAACTCCAACCGCAGCCTTGGACTTCTCTTCATGGATCGGATCGTTGCATGGTGGGACACACCGGATACATCCACAAACGAAGCAAGCCTCAAGCTCGCAGGCTCCCAAGCCGAGTTGACGAGCGAAGCAGAAGATGCCAGGAGTCGAGAAGTCCACCCCCCAGGGTTTGCACCATACGTTCTACCACCCTACCACCTCTCTCTCTCTTCTTCAACCTCGACGAGGACCTCTCAGCGGCCTTTGACACTTCTCAGTCCGATTGTCCATGCCCAAGCCGTTGTCTCTTTGCCGCCAACTCCAACCGCAGCCTTGGACTTCTCTTCCTTGATCAGATAGTCTAGATGAGGGACTCCAGCGTTGCGTCGTTGCATACATGGCGGGACACACGAGATCCATCCAAAAAGGAAGCAAGCCTCAAGCAGAGGTGGCTGAACGCAGACTCATCTGCTCGAGTCTTACTACACCAGTAAGCAAAGATGGCCGAACGCAGACTCATCTACTCGAGTCCCACTACACCAAAGACAATAACAACAACAATACCGCCAGGTCCTCATTGAAGACACGATTGACGAGGGGGCCGAGGATGGGGATGAGGGCGATGTTGATCAGGTCGCTGACGTGGTGTCAGACGCCCATCCCAGACCACTCTTGACGGGCGTGTCTGGCGTCTTCAATGCCAGTCAAGGAAGATGGATTCAAGCAATGAACGCAGACTCATTCCGCTCGAGTCCTACTACACCAAAGACGACAACAAGCAAAGATGGCCAAACGCAGACTCATCTGCTCGAGTCTTACTACACAAAAGACGACCACAAGCAACTCTGGCTGAACTCATTCTGCTCAAGTCGTGCTACACCAAAGACAACAACAAGCAACTCTGGCGAAACGCAGCACAAATCCCCCGGCCTGCCATTCTACGACAGCGTCAACGACTATGGATTTGTCCGGCCAGCCAGGCCACTGGGTCGCTAGCGTGGGACACTGTCGAACGCCCATCCCAGACCACTGTTGGCGGGCGTGCCTGGCATCTTCGATGTCAAGGTACCATCTGGATTCAAGCACTGAACGCAGATTCATTCTGCTCAAGTCCTACTACACCAAAGACAACAACAGGCAAAGATGGCAGAACGCAGACTCATCTGCTCGAGTCCTACTACACAAATGACGACAACAAGCAACTCTGGCTGAACGCAGACTCATTCTGCTCAAGTCGTACTACGCCAAAGACAACAACAAACAACTCTGGCACGTCACAAATTCCCCCCAGCCTGCCATTGTACGACAGTGTCAACGACTATGCATTTGCCCGGCCAGCGGCCTGCCCACTAGGTCGCTGACGTAGTGTCGTACGCCGATCCCACACCACCGGTGGCAGGCTTGTCTGGCCTCTTCAATGTCATGCATAGGAGATGGACTCAAGCAATGACTGCTCGTCTGGTCGACCTCCTTCTGGATCTGTTGAGTCAGGAGCATTCCGTTCGCACACCAAGCGAAGGAGTGGCGTCTACTGAAGGTCATCTGCAGAGACACAGGGCGAGGAGTCTCCAGTCTCGTGGCAGAAGAGCGAGTGAAAGCAAATATTCGGACGACGAGTTGCACGACATCCCCCTGCTGTTGCGCAGCCTGAACAACCACCAGTTGAACCCAAGTCGGTCATCGATCGAAGCGGTGGATGATAACCAAGAAGGAACCAAAGGAGCTGCCATTGCCATTGCTATCCACGCCGCATTCGGACACAGTAAAAGATCCAACACCACCGAAAGATGAACTCACAGAACAGGATCGGGAGAAGCTGCTCCCAGACACGTCCCACCCTGAATCTGCCACTGCAGCTGGCGCCGGCGTTCCCCGACCCCCACCGTTGAGCCCAAACAGTTCGTCTGCACCATGGTGTCATCGACCGCATGTCCACGACGGAGCCCCGGCGCCAAACCCTCGCGGTCTCGATGTTGTTGCAGTCCATGAACCGGTTCCCGATCAAGGGGTGAGGCCACAAGTGGGCGAGACCGAGCCCCCTCATCAAGACCGACGTCCTGGACCCCGATTCTGCACGTGCAGACGCCCGCCCAGCGCCAGAGTCGTGTTCCTGGGCAAGAAAGTGGTCACCGACTCACCGCCTTCGTCAACCCAGAGTCTCCGAGCCCCAAACAGCACAAAGGTCATAAAGCTTGGATGACTGGGTGGTAAACTTGGCCTCCAGACCGCCCACCATGGCAGGAAGATCAAAACGGCGGCAATGCCACAAAGCTTGGATGATTGAGCGTTGAACCTGGCCTCCAGACCTCCCTCCATTGTAGGAAGATCAAGAGAAGGGAAGGTTCGGGGCAGTGAAGGCGCAGTCGTCGACGATGACGGCGTCGTAGCCAGCCAGGCCGGCAGTAACACCATTCCAGCTAGCCGTTGCCAGATGCCGAGAGTACCCAAGCATTTCCTCGACTCGTTGATGTCTGAGGGGTCCAAAACGTCAAGCCAAGGTACCGGCATGAGAGATTCAGGATGAACGGCGTGGCAGCCGACACATGGCGAACCAAAATACCACGGACATCCCAAGAGCTGGTCACTGCGCACAAACTGGCAGAGCGTTGGTCGCCAGCACCCGGTTGTCGAAAACCTCCATCAGCCAGCCCCTGAGCCTCGAAACAGCAAACATCGCAAAGCTTGGGGTGATGGAGCGTCCTGGGCTGAAAGAACCCACACCACTGCTGGCAGAGAGCCCCAAGGGAGGGCCTGAGGTTCGGAAGTGGCACGGAGTCGATGACGACGTCGCAGCCAGCCAGCAGCAGACACTCCGGCTGGCAGCCGCTGGGGAACTTCTTGACTGGACATCAGCGGCAACGTTGCAGCTACGCGGCACCACCATTCCAGCTGGCTGTTGACGAGACGGACGCTCGAATGGAGATCAGCGAGCGGGATCCGTCGCAGTCGTCTGGTCAGTTGCAGAGACCACCCAGGTACTCTCGAGTCATTGTGGCCTGGCAGTCTCAAGGCGACGTCGAAGCCAGCGTACCGTCCGGAGTCCAACAGCGTGACGCCGTGGCAACCAGGCAACCAAGATACCAACGCGTCGCCCAGGGGTATCAACGGTCACCAAGCCCGACGCGCAGGGAGACCAAAGTCGCCTGCCGTGGCCCAGGTGGCATGCATGGCCTTCCCTCGAACTCCACGGCCTCCACCGGCCAAGCCCAGGGTGATGTTGCTGCTGCCGGCCGATCTCAGGAAGGAATTCAATATGGTCAATGTCAAGACTGCGGCAAGCATTCGGTTTCGGCAAGGGCAGCGGAACTTGGCAAGGCTGCTGCACAACAACATCATCTGGACAAGATCATGCACGGAGATGGACACAGAACTGGTTGTCTTCCGGGCTTGTGGCTTCAATGGCTGGCTGCTGCCACCAACGGCAGCCAAGCAGACGAAGGCGTCACAACTCGACTTGGATCGATGCGGATTGACCATGTCGGAGGTGCACAGCAGCGAGCAGACATGGCGGGCACCGCTGTCACCACGGAGTCGTGGATATTCCTCATGCCAAGACATAACGACATGCGCATGGCACGCAGCTCTGGCGCCCCCACTCGGCTTGGATCGATTTGGGGGGAGCCCGGAGCCCGGACCAAGTCCAAAATCCAAAGTCCAAAGCCGGGACCACGTCCAAAATGCAAAATTACATCCAAAACGCCAAAACGACATGCAAAACCACATGCAGAATGCCAAAAACAGATGCAAAATGGAAAATCTACATCCAAAATGCCAAAACGACATGCATAACCATATAGAGAATGCCAAAATGACATCCAAAGTGCAAAAACTATATGGAAAATGCCAAAACGACGTCCAAAATGCCAGAACGACATGCAAAACCATATGCAGAATGCCAAAACGACGTCCCGAGTGCCAAAACCACATGCAAAATGCCAGGATGGCGTCCGGGGTGCGGGGACTACGTCCAGGGGGCCCAGGGAGCATGCAAGGCTACATCTGGGGTGCCGAGGTTGCGTCCAAACTGCAAAAACCATATGTAAAATGCCAAAACGACGTCTGGAGTGCCAAACCACATCCAAAACCACATCCAAAACGCCAAAATGATATGCAAAACCATATGCAAAGTGCTAAAACGACGTCCGGAGTGCCAACGCAATATCCAAAATGCAAAACCCACATCCAAAACCACATCCAAAACGCCAAATGATATGCCAAACCACATCCAAAATACCAAAACGACATGCAAAACCATATGCAAAATGCCAAATCTACATCTAAAATGCCAAAACAACGTCCGGAGTGCTAAAACCACATCCAAAACCACGTCCAGGATGCCCCAACACACATCCAAATTCCAAACCAGGCGGCTCAGCAGCGGAGGAACCCATGCCGGCAGCCCAGCAGGCCAGAGAACGTCGTCGAGCACGGGGGACATGCAGGCTGGCCCACTGCGGACGCCCAAGCCCAAGTCTTGAGTCGACGAGGGCCGGGAGCCGGGGAGCGGGAGCGGCAGCGGCAGAGAATGACTTGGCTGGCTGGCTGGCGGGCTGGCAGGCCTATTCTCTCGTCCAGAAGGCCACTGTCGTGGAGGGCATCGTAGCACAGGCGTCGGAGTGGTGGTGGTGGGCGCAGGAGGTGAGGTCTGGCAGAATTTCCACCCCCCTCCTCCTTGGCCAACCCAACGACACGCCAGCGACCTCTTCGGTTGATATTCGGATCTTCGGATCGGCGCGGATTAACGTAACGGCGAGGCGCTAAGCGACTTTGGACAAGGCGTGGTCTTTGTTTCCACCACCATCAAACGACTTCATCCTTCACCATCACCACCACCCATTTTCTTTGTTGCAGCGGCGTTTGCATCGTCCACAGGTGACAAACAGCAAGGTACGTGCATCTCCTGTCTCTCTCATGTCTGCATGCATCGCTAGGCAGGCTGTGCGTGTGTCTGTGTCGGTCGTTCGGCCGGTCCAGGGGGGTGGTCTCCTGCCTGCTCACCACACCGCCTTTGCACCTCAACAACATCTTTCTGAGGATGGCAATGGCTCTCCTGTCCTTTCTCTCTCTCCAGATGGCCGTCTTGTCGTCCTGCTTCGGCGTTGTGGGCTGCACGGCGGCTCAGGGGGAGGGTTTTCTGCCTGCTCACCTCACCACCTTTGCCCAGACGCCCACGGCACCTTCAGATGTGCTCTCTCGACCTCCGAGGGTGGCTCTCGACGCCGGTCTTTTTGTTATGCATCTGTGGTGGCCGGTGAGGGGTGCTCTTCTGTTCTGGCCGCCTGTCTTCCGGTTTTCTGACCACCGCAGTTGATCTCCGGCCCTTCCACACCTCCTCCGCCGTCCGCTTCGTGTCCCAGATGGCGCTCGACTCCCCGATGGAGCCCTGGTCCGCTCAGCAGGAGCGTATCGCCGCGAGGCCTCGACTGCAGGCGATCCCACCGCCGGGGGATGAGAAAGAGCAAGGGAGACACAGAATGTACGTGCGTGGGAATCACACTTACCAGGCCCAGCCAGCACGCACACACGTCGAACCCAAGGCTGATGGCGGTGCATGCAAGGCGTTGGACCGCGTCTCGCACCGAAAGCCTTCCGCCCGCCCGCCCACGACACCGATGCAGATGACGCCGCAAGAGAGGAAAGCGATGCAAATGACGCCGCAATAGAGGAAATCGATGCAGCAAGACATGGAACTCGATACATATATACATTATCGATGCAAGAGATGGGAATTGGATGTACGTGGTCGGTGCGCTGATATGGGATCTGCGCGGTGGGCTTTGGGTGCCAGAGACCGCCCACACGGTTTGGCGCCCACGCCTGGAGTCTGTCGCCGCGGCATGCCCAGCAGCCACGTGTTGCCACCAGATGTCGTTGTGGTGCATGGTGGACGCAAGATGGTGCATGCTGCAGGCAAGATGTCGTTGACGCTGCATGGTGGTTGACGCTGCATGGTGGTTGACGCTGCATGGTGGTTGACGCTGCATGGTGGTTGACGCTGCATGGTGGTTGACGCTGCATGGTGCAAGATGATGCTGCTGCATGGTGGACTCTGGTGCGTGCCGGAAAAGACATGCAGCCGGCGACCAGCAACGCCCATCAGCCACCGTGGCCCTTGTTCGCCCTCGTCACCACCGGGCGCGTCTCCCGGAAACGACAGCCGCTCGACGCCCACGCCGGGCCACGAACACACTCGTCCACTCGCCATCGACCCCTTCTCGTCGCCCAAACTCGACCAACTTTGCATTTTCCGGAAAAGTCACCCGCTCCACGCCCATCTGCCAGCGAGAAATTCGACACTTGGCCGCCGCGACGACCAAAACTTTGCGTTTTCCGGAGTCCTTTTCCGTTTTGCCCGCAAATTCCACCCACAACGCCCAAACACACTCGCAATCCTGCAAAATCGGCACAATCGGCCGGAAAAATCACCCGCTCGACGCCACCCTTGCTCGCCTGCACTCCTGCAAACTCAATCCGCACTCCAAACCTGCCAACTCAATCCTTCGCGATAAACGAACGCACAATTCGACCTTCCTCGAGCACAACGACGACAACAAACCCGTTCAGGCTGAGAAGGGCCGTGGGAGCAAAGAGACAAGAGTGATGAAGAGGAAGGAGAGAGGAAAGACCTCTGTCGTGGGCATCGAGCTCATATTTATACCCAGGAGGCCCAAACGCCATAGATGCTATCATCATGACACCAGCCAATGCTATCACCAACGCCACCAAGTCCCCCGCCATCAGATACGAGGCCCCTGACGCCTGCATAATGCTCAACACCATGCCGCCGCCCATCACACCAGACCGCCAGCATCATGCCAGAACGCCAGGACCCCCAATTCCCCCAAAGACCAAAGACCAAAGTGCCAATTCCACGAGGACCAACGACAAGACCACCAAGTCCACAAAGACCAAAGACAAGAGCGCTATTCCTCCTCCGACACCTCCGACTCGTCCTCCTCCTGCTCCCCCTCCTCCTCCACGCCCACGCCGGAAGGGCCAGGCCCGGTCTGCTCAACATCCCCCATCTCATCATCACTGCTGTCCGAGAGGATGATGGGATCCTCGACAGCGTTGTGGACCTTGTTGCCGCCGAGGATGGGAGGATCGACCGGGTTGAACTCCTTGCAGTCGCCCCGCCGCACCGCCGCCAACTCCTCGGCCGTCACGAGCGGCCCGGATCTCAGACAGAGATATTGCACCTGGGCGATGTGCACCTTTTGCTCGGCGAAGTCCAGTCCCAGGACCACGGGCGTCCACGGCGCCGTGGGCAGGGAGACGAAGGTCTTGGGCTTCGACAACCGTGGCCGCGGGCCCGGGCCGGGGGGCCGGAAAAGAAGGCGAGCCTGGTCGGCGTGGTCGCCGTCGGGGCCGGAGAACCGGAATTGCAGCTCTTCGTGTTGCAGGAGGACCGTGAATGCTTGCCGTGGGCGAACGGCCAGGGGAGGGTGGTCCGCCGCGGGGGCAAAGGCGTGGGGATCGTCGACGACCTCGAAGACGTCCGTGAAGGTCTTCAGACGCCGGCCGAGGGTGTCGTGGGCCTGGCGGAGCCGGGGGATCCCCAGGTTGTCGGCGCGGAGGCGGTGGTTCTCCTTTTCGGTATTGTCGAGGCGCTGTTGGCGGTCGGCGTTGCCGGCGTGGATGTTCCGCGTGGCCGTGCGGAGGGCGTCAAAGACCAGTTGAAGGTGCGCGTTCTCGGCCCGCAAGCGCTCATTGTCGCCGCGAAGGATCCCATTGTCGGTTTCCAGGCCGTCGTTGTCCGCCTCCAGGCCCATGTTGTTGGCCAGCGCGTCGCCATGGGATTCCTGCAGCCGCGCATGCTCAATACGGAGGGCGAGATAGTCCGCCGTCACCGTGGTGTTCCTCCGTCTCAAGACCTGGATGTCCGCCGTCAGAGTGGTGTTCGTCTGTGTCAGCTCCTCCACGTTTTCGGTCTGAACGGTGTCCCGGACTGTCAGGCGTATATTTTGGCACCGCTCGCGGCGAAGCTCAAGTTGGAGATCTTCATGTTCGCCTCGGAGGATCCGGTTCTGCTCGGTCACAGTGTCGTGCTCCTGTGTCAAGTTTTGCACGTCCGCCGTCAGAGTGTCGTTCCTCTGTCTCAAGACCTGGATGTCCGCCGTCAGCGTGGTGTTCGTCTGTCTCAGGGTGTCCACCTGCTCTCCCAGATCCTCCACGTCGTGTTCCAGCACGGTTTCCCGGCCTCTCAGCTGTGTATTTTCCTCATGCAGCCTTTCCACCTCCTTTCTTAGGCCCTTCACCTCATCGACCAGCAATTTTTCCCTCTCTTCTATACCCTGTTTCATCGCGGAGAGCATCTTCCACAAGGGAATGGGCGCCGGGAGGGCGGTGGAGGAGGAGGAGGCGGGCTCGGGGGTTGCAGGACTCGCGGGGGTCGGTGGTTCGCCGTCTGGCATGCTCTTGCCGAGCTCGGGGGAGTCCATGACGAGGGTGGGGGACGTGCCAGGCTCGGGGGAGTCGGGAATCTCGACAATGTCGCCCGTGGGCGTGGCATTCGGCCGCTCGGAGCGGCGAACGCGAACTTGCCGAGGTCTTAGCATTCGCAAACGGAGAGTTGGGGGGGGGGGGGAGTGCGTACCTTTTGGGGGGGGAACATCATCGTCGTCCCCTCCCTCACGCGGACGAGTGTGCCGCCCGGAGCAGCCAACTGCCAAGGTCTGAGTATCCGCAAACGAAGAGTGGGTATAGGCGACCGGGGGGGGGGATTGCGTACCTTTTCCTTTTGGGGTGGGAACATCGTCGTCGTCGTCTCGATACGGGCGAGTTTGGCGCGCGGCGGAGGGGCGCCCTGCCAAAGGTGTCAGCATTCGCAAACGGAGAGTGGGTATGGGCAAAATGGGGGGGGGGGGAAATTGCGTACACGGCGTCACGATGATGGTGTCGCCGTCTGGGGAAGCAGGTCGGTGCAAAGGCGAGGAGGCCATTGTGGGCAGGCAATGACCAAGAAAGGTACCTCGGTGGTGGTACTAAAATGGCTTTGTCGACTAAAAAGAGGTAGACTTCGCCGGGGCCGAAGTCAGCAGGTAAGCGAAAATGGTGCAATGGAGCCAAGATTGGAGCGGATGATGGAGGCGAAGGATGATTGTGAAAGATCTTGAGATCGAGGGGGAAATCTCGAGTTTAAATGCTTTGCGGGGCCCCTCTCTGGACGGTGATATCAAAAAGGTATGTTCTGTCTCTCCCCCTCTCTCCCAGCCCATCACGGCCGATCCCAGTCCATCACATTGTCCCAACCCTCAACAAATTCCTGTTTTTCTCGTATCCAAAACGCCCCCAACAGGGATCGAAGTGTGGTGTTGCATTTGAACCGTGGGTGGTTGTCATGTGCACCGCCCTCGACCGGCGGCGCTACGGGCTTGGCCCTCAGCCCGGGGGTGGGGGCGCGGAGGATCCGAGCAGCGCCCACCGAGCCAATGGGTCGACGAGGAGCGACGTCGGCGGTCTCGGCCACCCCCAGCTTGGAAGGTCGCTGGATGGTCAGCTCCATTGTCCGCGCGATCATTGGCTTCATGGTCGCCTGGAGAGTTTGCCGGATTGTTTGCTTGATCGCATGCTTGATTCGCTGCCTGATGGGACGCTCGCGGGCAACGCCCGACTACTGGCTCGACGGTCTCCGCCAGGGGACCCCGATGGCCCCGCGGGTGGATCCCGATGGTGGGTGTGATTGTGTGCTTGATTGGCTGCCTCATTGTCTCCTTTTGTTCAGCTGGTTTCAGCTTCGTTTGCTAGTCTGGCCACTAGTTTCAGAGCCACTCCGCCCCCTTTCCAGCCAGCCAACCACACGGCCCCATCACACCACAGGTTATCCCCGCCCGCCCAGCCGTGCTCTCAAATATTTGGAAGGGTGGGCCCGTCACCAAGTCAACCAGCCAATCACCGCGTCAACCAGCCTGATTCCATCGGATTCCATCTGATTTCGTGTCGTCATGACTTTTTGCCACCCCACACCGCCAGACGCCACCAATTTCCCTTCCCGCCCCCCCCCAATTTCCCCCTTTCTCCCAGCCCCCTTCCCCCTTCGCCCTCGCCCTCGCCCTCCCCCCTTCCCCCCTCGCCCTCTCTCTCTTTTTTTCTTTCTCTTTTTTTTTCTCTCTCTGTGTGTGTGGGTGTGTGTGTGTGTCCCCCCCCTTCTCTCTCTCTGTGTGTGTGTCTCCCCCCCTCTCTCTTTCTGTGTGTGTGTGTGTCTTTCTCTTGCCCTGCCCCTCCCCTTTCACTCCAACATCCACAGGACCCGGTCCAACTCGGCCTGGAACTTGGCCCGCTCGGCGCTGCTGTCGAACTGCAAGGTCTCGAGGGGCTGGTGCTGGTGGTGGTTGTTCGTAGCAGTGGTAGTCGTAGTCGTAGTCGTAGCAGCCGCCGGCTTGAGCGACTCGTGCACCAGCAGGGCGTCGGCCTTGATGGCGTCCCAGTCGACCAGCGAGCTCATGAAGTCGTCGGCCGCGACGGAGGACCAGGTCGCCCGCGCAAAGGGGCCCGAGTGGTACCGCGTCGTCGCCTCGTCGTCGACCCCGATGACCATCTCGTCCGCGGCCGTCACGTGCTGGAAGCGCGCCATCTTCGTGGCGTAGTCGTGCTCGACGTGGCTGTGCCCGGCCGGCAAGATCACCGACATCTCGCCTTGGTGGCCGTGTCGGATGTGGCTGGGGAGGTGCGCACGCTCGCTGCCCATCAGCCACGTGGCGGAAATCTCTTGGCCCTCGCCGAAGAAGTGCGGTGCGGCGCTGACTCCGCGCGCAGCCTCGTCCATCGCCTTGCTGCGGTGACGCTCAGCTTCGTCAATCTCAGTGACATCCGTCATCTCAAGATCAGAACCAGATTGAGATTCGGTTTCTGCCTTGGCAGCGCGAGAAGCAGCGAGTTTCCGTGCCGTCATACGACGCTTCTTCTCGGATGGTTTGCGTGGAGCATACTGATAACCTGGATTCTCTGCTGCGTGCTGAGCTTTGATGTTGTCTGCCAACTCTTTGAACTGTGCTCGAACTTGTTCAGACTCCTCCCTCCATCTTTTCCCAAGGATGACTGAGATCTCATTGTTTGACAGTGCAGGCTTTACATCCTTGAGCGTGGGATGATGTTTGGCTCGGTAGAGAATGAATGCATTGGGCGGACGAGGAACTTTTGATTTTTTGCCAGGCAAGCGAATGGACTTGACCGGCGACCCCTTGTTCAAACGTGCACGCTTGGGGGCTGGAGTGGGACTTGAGGTAGACATCATGGACTGATCTGAAGCCGATCGTGGCGGAGAGCTGCTCATGTCGGGCAGACCATTTCCGGTCGCGGGGAGTTCATGAGCCAGGCGAATGCGACAGACTTCAGCTGAGTGATCAACAAGTATAACAGCAGGAGCATTGTTGAAGTAGGCGCTACAAGAAGTTAGCAGAGAGCAATTGTTGTCTGGAGATTCTTACCTGAAGCGCGAACGAAGATCCGTAATGTTGGCTTCGCTGAGATTGATCGCCATGAAGTATGGAATCACCAACTCATTCTTGTTAGCGGTGAATGAGGCAACACCCATCTGCCACATGATGTCCATTTGGGCTTTGCTCAATCCAACTGGCACCGAGTTTGCTTGGCCTTTGGCATCAAGCACAGGGTTGGAAATGTCCTCCATCCTGGAAGAGCTTCTGGCCAATTTCAGTATTGATCAAGCAGTCCTGGTCCAAACTTACGGTGCGATCTGAGGTGTTTCGTTCAGGGGACTTTGATGCTGACGGCTTGAATTGAGACAATGGAGTGAGTGAGAGAGATGAGAGGGAGTAAGATTGCTGAGAGGAGAGATTTATGTGAAAAGCCGTTGAAGTCGAAAGTGACTTGAGGGTGAATTCTGCCGCACCAGGACAGAATTTTCACTTCTCAATAGCGATGCTATTATTCCTGCCACCCAGATGAATAACAGCTCACTTCACTGTGCCTCTAACCGTCTGCTTGGCGTGAGGCTGAAGCTCTCACGAGCCATAGCCATACACAACAGAAGTCGGGGCGTGTTGTTTTGTCAGCCTTGCGGGCTCGTAGTTTGATCCAGCACTGTCGAGCAGCCACATCAATCCTTTTTGGTTTTCAACCCACTCAACATTGTCTTCTGATCTCTGAAATCAAATTTTCCGGAGAGAAGATACTGAGGTGCACACAGCTGGGGAAACGAGCAGTTATGGGCGTCCGCAATGTCTTCAAACTCCAGGAAATACTCAATCGGAGATCAAGATCTTCTGCCAACGTGCTCAAAGTCCGCATGCATCTGAGCATAACAGAGGAAGCTACCGAGAAGTCAGTCGGGGTCGGTATGGTACCGGCGCACCTCCTAGTGATTTCCTACCACGATGTGGCCACTTCGAACAAGCGGCTCCTGGCTTCTCACAATCCTGGGCCTCATTCGCACTTTCGAGCCCAACAATATTACACTCGCAAAGAAAATTGAAGAAGGAGATACGCAAAGTGGGTATAGCAAAGGGGCGGCTGCCAAATTAAGGGTGGACTGTGCGCTTTTGAACAAAGAATGCTGAACCGTTTCCGGAACCAACGTGTCCTCATTCCTTCGGCTGTTTGAGTCAAGATAGGCCTGCGCTGCCACCCGAAATGATTGCTATGGATACACCCCTGGCCCCTGCGGTACCATTTGCTAAAAACATTGCCGTCAATGTGTATCTCGAGGAGGTGAGCCAGACACTCGACGACACTCACAAATTCTTTACACGAAGCTCTGCTCCGGGTCAACACGTCCATCAACACCGCTGCTGAGATGAAGGTGGCAATGCTGCTCCTCCCAACTTACCACCCAGTTGTGGTGCTCTGACTCTTGCAGTTGTCCCTCAAACGGTATGTCATCAACCCCGATGGACCGATTCATTCTCCATCATTCTATATTGCAGTGCACTCAAGGCTGACCGGCTTGCCAAATCAGGTTACTTCTCCTTCCGCCGCCCAGTGGATGATCAGCGCCCAGGCCGCCTACGCCCCAGAGGAGCAGCAGTCGCCCACATCGGCCGGCAGTCCCGCATCCACTCCCAGCCTGATCCTCGACACCGCCCATGACCATGAGAGCCCTCGCTTCACCGACTATCTCACCATTGACGCCGTCAATGCCGACCAGCAGGCCGCATATGCGCGCACCAACGGTCCTTCCCAGGCTGCGCTGCATTTCCACCCCCAAATCTGCCCCCCGATCTTGGGATTTGATCCCCGGGTCATCCAAGACGACTTCGATCCGTTCAACCTGGATCTGTTCGCGTTCCAACCAAACCGCAAGTGAAGAGCATGGCACGGCACACAGGGGCATGGCGGTGCACAAGACGCAAGGGAGGTTCCGGTGGCGGGCGGTCCTGATCTTGGACTGGTGAGCAAACACACACATGGGGGGGACGCACACACAACATAGGCGCTGAGAGTGCAGCTGCGGGGGGCATTGCATGGAGGCAAGCTTGGGCGGGGAAGCCTGGAGGATGGGCCACAGCTTTGGGCATGGGAGCAGCCTGGAGCATGGGGGGGCAAGCCTAGAGCATGGGCAGCAGAAATAAGCATGAGCGTAGGCCTGTGCTTAGGGATGAAGTAAATAATTGGAAGTATGCCTGGGCATGGGAAGCAGCCTGGAGTTTGGGGGGCGGCATTAGGCATGGGAGTAGCCTAGAGCTTGGGGCGGGGAAGCCTGGAGTTTGGGGGCGTGGGAAGGGAATAATTTTCGTTAGCACCCTTGTGGAATCTTTGCCGACTCACCATCGTCATTTGATTGTCATTTGGTGAGATGCCAAGACATAACGACATGCCAAGACATAACAACATGCTCATGTCGTTATGTCTTGGCACGCAGCTCTGGAATCTTGGGGGGGGGGTGAGGGAGAGAGAGGGGAATGCCCGTGACGCCTGTGGCATCTGCCTCTGCCTCTGCCTCTGCCTCCAAGCCCAGAGCCCAGAGAAAAAGGGGGAATCTCGGGGGTGCAGAATCTCGTCCGAGTTTCAAGCGCAGAGAGGAACGGGAAGGTTGTCTCCTTCTCAGAACATTGGCGGGGCGTTGTTGACTCACCTCCATAGGCCATGGCCCCTCTGTCCAGGACCCGTACACACGCGTGACTCCAGAGGTTCCATCCCACCATCCGACCAGAAGCCTATTCCATCCACCACATGTCGGGTGTATTGGTGATGAGCGTCCCTGGCAAAAGGTGCAAAGGAGGGTGGTTCCACAGGTGCAAAAGGGGGGGTGGTTCCACAGCTGGAGCAGAAGGTCAAAAAGCAAGTCAGCAGCGAAGTTCTTGCTCAGACCGCCCCCTCTTTCTGAGCGCCAGGTCTCAGCTTGTTTGTGGGTGTGTGGATTTTCCCCCTCCGCACGTCGACGCCAGAGGGCAGAGAAGTGTCCCGAAGGAGCCTGATGACGCGAGGTGCAGGGGGAGAATTGGAAAAAGAACCAGAAAAATTCAAAGCGGGGTGGGAGAATTGGAAAAAGAACCAGCAAAATCAAGGCGGGGAGCCGCCCGTCAACGCCACCGACTCCCGTGCAACTCCCGGCGGCCAATCCCATCACCGCGAGGACATGCATTGACTGCACAGGTGAAACACAGGTGCAGCCAGCTGAGCAGAAATACGAGGTCCCTGCAGCCAAAAAGCAATATCGAGACATACCTATGCACCGGACTTGGACAAGTTCCATGCATCATCGGAGCAGAATACGAGTTCCCTGCAGCCAAAAGCAATCAGAACATATCTGTGCACCGGACTTGGAAAAGGTCCATGCATGAAGTTGCAAAAGGTCCCTGCAGCCAAAAAGCAATATCAGAAACATACCTATGCATCAAGGTGCAATAGTTCCATGCATCATGCACCCCGAAAGGGTAATTGAAGAGGAGGAGTTTTGCCAGTTCCGTGCATCATCATCTGAGCAGAAGACGAGTATGAAGCAGCCCCAAGTCCAAGGCCCTGTCATCTTAAAGGCTGTGTCATCTGCCCCGTGTTGCAATCAGATCTGTGAGAAACCAGGAAGAAAGAAGTCCAAGGCCTCTCATCTCAAAGGCCCTATCTCAAAGGCCCTGTCTCAAAAGACCCTGTCTCAAAGGCCCTGTCATCTGCCCGGTGTTGCAATCCGATCTTTGAGCATACCTCTTCCGGGAAACACTTACGAGAGAGACAGCCATGGACGGTCCATATCCTTGCTCGAGGTGTCCACGGAGATTTGCCCGCAAAGCATATCTCGCTAACCACATGAGAGCACACCGGGCTGGACCACCATACGTATGCCCAACCTGCACCAAACCGCTCAACAACAAGCTCGACTACCAGAGTCACCTCAAGTGCCACGATAGCAAGCGCCCGTGGCAGCCGTGTCCGAAAGAGGGCTGCGATCGGGCATTTCGACGCGTGGACGTCTTGCAACGGCACATTGAAGACCACGACAACCCGGCCCGCCGGCGGATCCAGTGTCCTCAAGAGGGGTGCGACAAGTCATATGTCCACAAGGCCGACTTGAAACGGCACATGGTGTACCACGACCAGAATAGCCGGGGCATCCCTTGTCCTCACGAGGGCTGCCACAAGGCATTTATCCGCACGGACCACTGGAGAGAGCACCTCAAACACCATGACAACAGCCGGCTGAAAGCGTGTCCAAAAGAGGGCTGCCGTCGGGCATATATCCGCCCGCAGAACTTGAAACGGCACATCGAATCCCACGACAAGACCCGCCGGCGGCTCAAGTGTCCTGCAGCGGGCTGCGATATGTCGTATACCCTCCCGGGCAACTTGACACGGCACATCGAATCCCACGACGAGAACCGCCCGAGGAAAACGTGTCCGGAAGTGGGCTGCGACAAGTCATATACCCGCGCGGACCACTTGACCACGCACATCAGGTCGGCCCATCACCGCATTGCCAGCTTTCGGTGTAGCGACTGTCAGCAAGGGGGGTTCAGTCGGGCCGCGACGAGAGACCGGCACCAAAGGTACCACTGCCGTAAAGCACGGGCGCGCCGAGCAGCCCAGAATCTTCCACCCGAGACGGCTCCCCAACCCATGACATTTTTGCGACCTTCAGGTTCACATCTGGAGCTGCCGTGGGACTCGCATCGGGTGGAGGAGCTGCTGAACGGATATCGTCAGGTGGAGGAGCTGCCGTGGGAGTCGCATCAGGTGGACGAGCTCTTCCAGGAGTCGCATCTGGTGGAGGAGCTCTTCCAGGAGTCACATCTGGTGGAGGAGCTGGTGCCCGAGTGTCGTCAGGTAGAAGAGATGCTTTGGGAGTATCATCAGGTAGAAGAGATGCTGCCTGAGTGTCGCCAGGTAGAGATGCTTTGGGAGTATCACCAGCTCGACATGCCGTTCTATATACCTTTACACGCGGATGGTATTGGCGCCGGCCCATCTGTGGAGTTTGCGGCGTTTGCCCCGGAGCCGGGAAGTTGACGGGGCCGCCACGTTGGCTGCTGGGTGCAGGTTTGGCGTCGAGCGGGTGATTTTTCCGGAAAATGCAAACTTTGTTCGAGTTTGGCGAGGAAAAGGCGGCGGTGCGAGTCGATGGGCGTCGGTGGGCGGGCGTAGCGCGAGGCGACGGCGTGGTCGAGCGGGTGTCTTTTCCGGGAGACGCGCCCGGTGGTCGGTCGAGGGTGTTGGACCAAGGCCCACGGTGGGCGATGGCGAGTTGCTGGGTGCCCTGCGCGCCGCCGATGGGTGTCGCCCGCATGTCTTTTCCGGCACATCTTGCTTGCAGCATCACCATCAACCACCATGGATCCACCACCATCTTGCTTGCAGCATCCACCATCTTGCATCGACAATGTGTATATGCATCGCGTTCCATCTCTTGCGGCATCGGTTTCCTCTCTGGCGGCGTCATCTGCATCGGGTTCGTGGGCGGGCGGTTGGTCAGAAAAACCGGAAGACGGGCGGCCAGAACAGAAGAGCACCCCTCACCGGCCACCACAGATGCATCACGCGATGACCGGCGTCGAGAGCCACCCTCGGAGGTCGGGAGAGCCATCGCCATCCTCGAAAGGTGCTGTTGGGGTGCAAAGGCGGTGAGGTGAGCAGCCAGGAGACCACCCCCCCTGGACCGGCCGAACGACCGACACAGACACACGCACAGCCTGCCCAGCGATGCATGGCGACATGGAAGAGACGGGAGATGCATGGACCTTGCCGTTGGTGCACGTCGGGACGGTGCAAACGCCTCTGCAACAAAGAAAATGCCGGTGGTGGGTGGTGATGGTGAAGGATGAAGTCGTTGACGGTCGTGGGAACAAAGACCGCGCCTTGTGCCAAAGTCGCCTAGCGGATCGCCTTCACGTTGATCCGATCCGAATGTCCGACTGTCCGAAGAGCCGAATATCGACCGAAGAGTCGCTGGCGTGTCGTTGGGGGGGAATTCTGCCAGACCATACCTCCAGCGCGCACCACCACCACTCCGGCGCCTGTACGGCGATGCCCACCACCACGGTGGCCTTCTGGGCGAGAGGGCAAGCTAGCCTAGCCGCCCATGGCCGCCAAAACTCGATGGTGGAAGTGTGTGTGCCCGTTGGTGCTGGGGGGGGAGCGGCGGGACGGGGCCCTCCAACTCTGGGCTGACTTCCATGCATCTGGCATGCAGACGTCACTGGCCGGCGAGAAGGGCTTGGACGCAAAGATGGCCGACTGGTCCATGCCGCTTTAGCGTGCGGGAAAGCCAGAGGGCTCGCCGTCGTGGTTGGCAAAGGCCGTCCCGGGTGCTGCGGGTGGTCGGGGCTCTGCAGCAACGAGGAAAACCACCACCGGCATTCGTTCCTCCGCTGCTGGGCCCGCCTGGTTGGGATTTGGATGGGATTTGGATGGGATGTGGATCCGCTGCGGCTGTTGGTGCTGCTGCTGGAGCGGGATGGGGAGGTGGTGGGTGCATGTTGGCCCGGCTGCTCGCAAGATGCTCATGGGATGTGGCACCCGAAGCCTCCGACTTCTCCTCGACGACTCCAGATCGATCCAAGCCGAGTGGTGGCGCCAGAGCTGCGTGCCAAGGCAGAACGACATGCCGATGTCGTTGTCGTGGTGTCTGCTTGCTGCTGTGCATCTCCGACACGGCCGACATGATGAATCCGCATCGATCCAAGTCCAGTGGTGACGACATGGCCTGCTCGGACGGCGTGGCCAGCGAGACGGACTTGGCTGCCGCAGGAAATGATGCCGACGGGGCAGGCAGGGTGCTTGCTTGGCCGAGAGGCGTCGAAAGGTCAAAGTCTCCATGTATGGCCAGCGTCCTGCGTGCGTAGGAACCATACGATGCTGCGGCATCAACGAAGGGTTGTCGTGGAAAGAAGTCGACGGCGAGCACCCGGGCACGAGCTTGCCTCAGCGTACGGCTTTCGAAGGAGACCATCCATTCCCATCCTGGTTGACAGAGCAGCTGTGACGAACGCTCGCCGGCGTGAAGAGATTGTGCCTGGCCTGGTAGATTCTGCACCTCGATGATCAATGAGAGGCAGTGATCTCTGCTCAGAGGCGCCGAGAATCGGACACCTTGGTACCGAGAACGAGAAGCTTGCTGGCAATGGCGTCACCAGTCAACATCTTGACGCTGAGACCGAGGTTTGGGGCTCCAAGATGGTAAGTGGGTTGGCTGTCATGACCGGCCTGGTCTGCACGGCAGTGGTCGTTGGTGGCAGCAGCCAGCCATTGAAGCCACAGGCCCGGAAGACAGCCAGTTGTGTATCCATCTCCGTGCATGCTCTTTTCCAGATGATGTTGTTGTTGTTGTGCAGCAAGCAGCCTTGCCAAGTTCCGCTGCCCTTGCCGAAACGGAATGCTTACCTCAGTCTTGACATTGGCCATGTTGAATTCCTTCCTGAGATCGGCCGACAGCAGCAACGTCACCCTGGGCTCGGCCGGTGGAGGTCGTGGAGGTCGAGCGAGGGTACATGCCCGCCGGGCCACGAGAAGCAAAGGCAGACGGTCTGTCCTTGTGGCAGAGGCGTCGTGTCCTCTCCACGAGTGGGCGATCCGGGGGTGATGTTGCCATCCCTGCAGGGTCAGTGCATTTGTCACGGGCGGAGGGGACTGCAGTATACTTACCATGGGGGTCGACCATTGTGAAGAACCTCGATCTTTGCTGCATCGTTCAACGAAGGACACTGTCGGTGCTTGGTGAGGTAGGAGGAGGAACCGCTGGAACAAGGAAAGAGGCCGCAATGGCCTGAGAGTCGTATTGACTCCATTGCCTTGATGGCGTGTGTGTGGTGTTGGGGCTGGCAGTCATGGCGGCAAGGGGGTAAGCCCTTCGTCCCGCCCCACGGCCATCAGCGAAGTGTCGACCACTAGCAAGATTGTCTGGACGTCGAGGCCGTTGAGCATGACGAGCACCAGTGAGAAAGTCAAGAGATGCTGAGCTTGCCGTCCTTCCACCAAGATCCAAGTATGGTATGGTATGGAGCCCACCTCTTGAGAGTCGTCTTGACACGAATGCCTTGATGGCATGTGTGTGTGCTATGTTGGGCTGTCCCTGAGGACTCTGAGAAGGAGAGAGGGGAGGGAGCTGCGTCGAGTGCAGGAGAAGTCGGTGGGCAGCCCATCCTGACAGTGGAAGAGATGCTGGTGGTCATCTCAACAGCAAAAGACGTGCTGGAGGTCATCCTGACAAGGGAAGTGGTGCTGGAAATCGTCGTGGCAGGGGAACAGGTGCTGAAAGTCATCGTGGCAGAAGAAGAGATGCTGAAGGTCAACCTGACAGAAGAAGAGGTGTTGGAAGAGGTGCTGGAGGTCATGTCAACAGCAAAGGTGGTGCTGAAGGTCATCCAACAGCAAAAGTGGTGCTGGAGGTCATCCTGCCAGGGGAACAGGTGCAGGAAGAGGTGCTGGAGGTCGTCTCGACAGCAAAAGTGGTGCAAGGGGTCATCCTGACAGTGGAAGAGAGGTGCTGGAAGTCATCGAGGCAGAAGAAGAGGTGCTCAAGGCCATGGAAGAGGTGCTGGAGACCTATCTTAACAGCAAAGGTGGTGCTGGAGGTCATCCCAATAGGAGAACAGGTGCTGGAAGAGGTGCTGGAGGTCATCCCAACAGTGGAAGAGAGATGCTGAAGGTCATCGTGGCAGAAGAAGAGGTGCTGGAGGTCATCTCAACAGCAAAAGTGGTGCAGGATGTCATCCTGACAGGGGAACAGGGGATGGAAGAGGTGCTGGAGGTCATATCACCCCGATCTCTTGCAGCCATGCAGTCAACTTGATGGGAGAGGGTGACGCTTGATGGGAGAGGGTGAGGCTGCGTCGAGGATGGGGGCGCAGAGGACAGGAGAAAGGGAAGGAGGCTGTGCCTGGCGTCCACGTGCATACTGGGCACGTGTCCACGTGTATGCTATGCAGACTGCGCTGGCAAACTGCGCAGGGAGGCAGACTGCGCTGCTTGGTGGCTGCGGTGCTTGCTGTCCAGCTGTTCCTGTGCAGGCGGTGTTCGCTGTGTATCCATTGTTACTGTCCAGCTTTGTTTGCTATTGATGCTGTTGATCCTGTCCAGCTGTTGATCCTGTGCAGCTTTGTTTGCTACGCAGCCTTGTCTGCTACGCCGTTCATTCCTGGGCTCGCCGTGCGGCCATTGTTCCTGTCCAGCGTTGTTTGCTGTCCAGATGTCCGTTCCTGCGCAGCAACTGTCCCTGTGCAGCTTTTTTGCTGTCCAGCTGACCGTTCCTGTGCGGCAACTGTCCCTATGCATCTATGTAGTTCGATTCTCTCTCTGCGGCCATACCGAGTCGATCGAGAAAAGAGGTCTGAGCACCATCTTCCATAAGACACTCGGTACAGTAGCCCTCTCGATGCCCACCCACTCTTCCAACCCTCCTCCGTACCTCTGACCCGCAGCTGGTCGAACAGGATCGACTTCAGCATGCCATGGATCCAGAAGCCTTCGAAAGGAAACCCGAGCATCACCAAAGGGTTTGTGGGTGGACAGTCCCGTCAAATTCTCGGGGATGGCGTCCAAGAAGACCAGAACGTCGCTCGTCTACGAGAAATGCACCGTGGTGCTTCATTCCGGTTTCATGGCCGGTCAAAGGGCAAGAGGAAGTCAATATAGTGGTAACTGGAAAACACGCTCAGGTTTGCATTTTCCTACACGCATGTTCGCCATCTCGAACTTGGACTGACATGAGCATCACAGACGGCACCAGAAGACGAAAATTCCCTTGCTGTTTCCTGCCCTAACGCCATTCTGTCAGCATTCAAAGACACAAAACGTTACATGTTGGGTTGCGGAGGCGGACATACCCAGAAGAAGAGGGCGAGCCCGAAATGCCGAGGAAATGGACGTCTCCAGAGCCTTCGCTGGGTGTTGGACATCGTCTGACATCCTCTTGTTCCCTTGGAGGGTCTCGACGGCGCTGCCAGCCTTGCAGAGGACGACGTCGATCGTGGTCCAGCGAGCCATTGCTTCAAAACAGCGATGACCAACTCGTGACACCCCCAAACCGAACGACGGTGAGAACGCCAGCCCCAGCCGTCGGCTGCCACGCCGTTCACCCTGAATCTCTCATGCCGGTACCTTGGGCTTGACGTTTTGGATCCCTCAGACATCCACGGGTCGAGGGAATGCTTTGGTGCTCTCGGCATCTGGCAATTGATAGCCGGAATGGCGTTGCTGACCATAACGACGGGTCGAGTGACTGCTGCAGCTTCGCAACAAGCTGTAATGGTGTTGCTGCCGGGCTGGCTGGCTACGACGCCGTCAGCGTCGACGGCTGCGCCTTCACAGCCCCGAACCCTCCCTTCTCTTGATCTTCCTGCAATGTTGGGCGGTCTGGAGGCCATGTTCAACGCTCAATCGTCCAAACTTTGTGACATTGCTGCTATTTGATCTTCCTGCGATGGAGGGCGGTCTTGGAGGCTTTGGGCAGGGCCGTCGTGGTTTGAGTCCGCTGTGCATGGTGTCGGCGGCCGTCGAGAGATGAGTCCATGTGCCGCTTGGGTGCCGCGGCGGTGGCAGCAGAAGACAGACTCGTGGCTTGGGACGGAAAACCAGGCAGGATCCATTGATGCCGCTGCGGCGACGCCGTGGTGGCAGCAGAAGACTTGCGGCTTGGGGCTGCAGAAGACACTCGTGGGTTAGGAAAGAACATCAGGCAGGATGCATTGATGCCGCATGGGCACCCCAATTCTGTGTCTCCCGGGAGCCAGGATCATCCGTGATATGTTCCATGCATCGGTGACACCACAAAAAGTGGTCCAAGCTAAAAAGGTTTGGCCATCAAGCACTCGACAGTGGGAAAAAGGTTGCAAAAGTCAAAAAGTTTGGCCATCAAACACACTTTGGGTCGACAGGTGGGCAAAAGTTGGACCAAATTTAGTGTTTGGGCACTCAGTCTCAGCACCCAGCAGCGCACCCGTTGAACTTGTCGAAATATCCTCAGCCTGCTTCCGCCCGAGGCTCCTCCAGACGTCCCTCCGCTCCATTTGTCCGTTCAGCCTTGTCTGTGGTCGCATTGGTCGGCCCAGTGGCAAGCAGTCTCGGAGCAGTGGCTGCTGGCTGGCTGGCGGCGCCGTTCCTGGAGGTCCTTTATCCCAAGTGCAGTAAATCGCGCAAGTGGGAAGCTGGTTTCAGGTGATAGATAACAGGCCCATCGAAATTCCTGGACACAGCGGCATATGCTTTGCTGATCAACTCTTTTGAGAGGGATGCCGGTCGCCCGGCTAACGGATGAAGCGATGATGGCAGCATGACGTCTCCCAGAAAACGTAGAAAGCTTTTCTCGACACGTTTCAGCAGTAGCGGTTGTAGAATCCGAGGAGTTGCATGAGGGAGATCGTTCTCCGGCATTTTATCCTGACCCAAGAACACTGTCTCTTGAACATTGAAGTATTCGTGGCTAGAATAGGCCCCATACCTGGATGCTGGGTGCAATACTGTTTGAGAAGTGTGAAGAGGGCGGAAAGAGGCGGGCATTGTGTCAAATTGTCAACAAACGGACAACCGTCGTGCGCGATGATGCGGTCCTTGTTCTCCGGGTGAAAAAGTTGGAATTCTGGAAGTCTTCTCCGGCCTGCGCAGTGCTGGGTGCTGGGTGTCGAGCGCAAAGTTTAAATTGCCAGGAGTGGTACTCAGAGTGGTGGTGAGTTGTCCAAAGTTGAAATCCTGGGGATGCCCTTCTCCCTCTGCCTCTGCTTCTGCCTCTGCCTCTGCCCTCTGGCCTGCGCTGACCTGCGCTCACTGATTTGACATGACTTGACTTGACTCGACATCCTCACTGCCTTGTTGCAGCATCTCGTGTATCTGCATCTCGTCCGTCTGTGCTCGCGCATCAGTCTCGCATGTCTTGCAGCTCGCATGTCGTGTAGCCAACGTGATTGCGTGCTGGCGTGATGGCGTGGTTGTGTCGTTGTCGGAAATCAACTCCGTGGACTTGAGTGTGAGCGTGGGTGTGGGCGTCGTCGGAGTTGGTTTTGGAGTTGATTTCCGTGGACTTGGGCGTCGGCGTGGTTATTGTCGTGGTTGCCGGAGTTGATTTCCGTGGCCGTCAGCGTGGCCACTCCGCCTGCCCTCGAGTGCTGTTGACCTCTCTTCACAGCCCATCATGCTCAATCGGACATGAAGCCCTCGTCGTCGATGTAGCCGAGTAGTTCCTTGCGATCTGATCACTGCTGACCCCCAAGCACATCGTTCGTGTAGGAAGAGGGTGATGGCCAGCCGCCAGAGAGCTAATCTGCTTGCCGGAGTTCATTTCCGGATGGGCGTCGCTCGCGCTTCTATCCACAACATTCTGCGAGGTAGGACCAAGGGCCACGGGCGGCATTAGGGTGCTGTGAGCGTCCGCTTAGGGTGCCATCGAGAAGGAGTCGTCGTCGTCGTCAAGTCGCATGGACCGGCGGGGGAGGCGAGGTCTTCCAGGCCGGCTGTCCCTGGTGCAACAGCGGGCGCAAGGTATGCAAACAACTCCGGCATGCCATCGATCAGGCTCTCCCGAACGGTTCGATAGACAGCATAGGCGAGAGGTCGACACGATCGGACTGGAGATCTTCCAGATAGAAGCGGACCCAGGTGACACAATTTCCGGCGTCAGGATGTTGATAAGCGGTAGGTAACTAACAACGCGACCTTGACATATCGGCTCGAATGGGGGGATAACGAGGGCAATGATGTCGGAATTCGAGTAACACGCATGGCTGGCTCTTCGACGCCAAGGGTTGGGTCGGTGATGTCGCCTTCCTTCAGAAACCCAAGAACGGTGAGCTAGCGTCAGCACCAGAGAGGAGGGTTCACTCATACCTTTGCCGCTGGTTTCAAGAGTCAAGACCGACAGGACCACCGGGGTCGAGACGGTGTTCTCGGTCTCCGCAGCTGTCGAGATCCAATGAGTCGGGGTCACGGAGCGGAGCGGAGCTTTCTTCTTTTGGGGCCTCGTCGACGCCGGCGGGGTGTATTGGACAGCGACGTGTTTTCCTTGATGAGGCGAGCCCGGTGCCCGACGTCTGGTCTGACGGCAATACTGACTGGCCTGGCATGGATCAAGTCGCCTCTGTCGCCGTTGGAGGCAGCAAGATCTGATCTAGCCAGCCTTGTCCGGTCTCGTTCGGTGTCCAGCCGTCTGTCGAGGTGGTGGTGGCGGTGTGTCGACGGTCTGGACGATGCTTAGACGGGTATCGGGATGCCTCAGGGTCAAGTATGTATCAAGCATCCATTTCTTGCACAGTTCATGCTGTGTATTTGCCGCAGGGTCAAGTATGTATCAAGGTTCCATCTCTTTCACAGTTTGTTGTGTATATTTGCCTTAGGGTCATGTATCCATCAAGTATCCATCTCTTGCACAGTTCGTTCTGTATCCTTGACAATCTCTACCGTGGTTCGTGTGACGACCGGCCGATTGAATGTAGGATGTACGGCGTAGGATCGTGGAAATCGTTCGTAGCTATAGGGCCACATCAGCAGAAAGGACAGTAAAGGTCCTGAGAGAGAATGGTTGGAGACTTACGCGGGTCAGATGGCTTTCCTTGTTGTCGTCGAGGCTGAGGACAATCTCGAGCCAGATGATCTGCCTCGTTGCATAGTCGTCTTTCGAAGCTGAGGTTGAGGCCGAGGGTAATCTTGGGCTAGATAGCGTTCCCTACTGCTGTCGAGGCCGGGGACAATCTCGAGCCAGATGGTCTTCCTCGCTGTAGATGTTGTAAGTCGTCTTTTGAGGCTGCGGACAATCTCGAGGCTGAGGCAGGACAATCTTGTTGTAGATGGCCTTCCTCGTTGCTGTGCAGATGGCCTTGCTTGTTGCTGTGCAGATATTGCTAGTTAAGGCTGGGGTAGATGTTGCAAGTCGTCTTTCGATGCTGAGGACAATCTCGAGCTAGATGGCCTTCTTCGTTGCAGATGCTGCAAGTCATTGATGTTTCGAGGCTGCGGAAAATCTCAGGCCAGATGGTCTTCCTTGTTGTAGATGTTGCCTTATTGTAGATGTTACAAGTCGTCTTTCGAGGCCAAGGCTAAGGGCAATCTTGAGCCAGATGGTCTTCGTCCGCAGTTACGGCAAGTTCTGTTTCGAGGCAGGATAATCTCGAACCAGATAGCCTTCCTGGTTGCTGTGCAGATGTTGCACGTCGTTGCCGTGTACATATTGCAAGTCGAGGCCGGGGTAGATGTTGTAAGTCGTCTTTCAGTGCTGAGGACAATCTCGGCCAAGATGGTCTTCCTCGTTGCAGATGTTGCAAGTCGTCTTTCGAGGCTGCGGATAATCTCGAGGCTGAGGCAGGACAATCTCGTTGCAGATGCTGTCTCGTTGCAGATGACCTTCCTCGTTGCTGTGCAGATGGCCTTCCTCGTTGTAGATGTTGCAAGTCTCAAGCCAGATGGTGTTTCTCGGTGCAGGCGTTGCAAGTGATCTTTCGAGGCTGAGGACAATCTCGAGCCAGATGGTCTTCGTCGCCGTAGTTGCGACAGGCTCGAATCTTCTGATTTCGACCATGTCAGTCTTGATTTGGCCATAGATGTCAGTAGGGACAGGACAGGACAGGACACACCTTGCCTCAGACTCGTAGACTTTGCTGGCACGACCACCACGCTCCTGGGCACAGTCACGAACACGATGACTCTCCTCACTGCATAAGTAGCAAGTAACAATGCAGAGGGTGTAGCCAGTGTGGCGAGAGCAGGAAACTTGGGGACTCAGTCGACACTCACAGTCAAAGAATGTAGAGGGAGAAGGGAGGGCGAAGGCAAAGGGCAAGGGCACTCGCACAAACCAAGCATTTTCCTGACGCAGACCCACTCTGGCACGGTGGTACGGTGGCAGCTGGTACGGTGGCCATTCCCGGCAACTGTTGTCAGGAGTACAGTCCTGGGAAGGCCTGGAATGGTGGTCCTAGCCCAGTTGGCAGCCTCCAACGTCTTGTCGCCTGGGGGCCTGGAGCCGAAGAGCTGGTAGCATTCATTGGCACGTACCCTCTTCTGCTCTACCTGCTGACTCTGCCCTGCTCTACCTGGCTCAGCCTGGTCTGCCCTGATCTACCTGCTCTGGCTGCTCTGGCTGCTCTACTCTACTATGCCCTGCGCTGCTCAGCCTGCCCAACCTACTCTACCCTGGTCTGCTATGCCCTACTCTACGGCCAGCCGGATTCGAGCAATGTAAAGGAGAAGGATCCGAGCGCTACAAAAGAGAAGGATATCAAGAGGAGGCGAAGGGATAGATATACCATATTACATTAACGACGAGGCGAGATGGTGGCACCCGGCCTCCACAATCCTGCGCTCTCGCACCACCGTCCGTCGATGGTCTTGACCATGGCCCTGGCCTTGCACGCCCCTCTGCCTGGTCTGCTATGCCTGCTTTGCGCTGCTATGCCTGCTCAGCCTGATCTGCCCTGGTCTGCTCTGGTCGACGTCTACAGCCTAGGTTGAGGCTGGGGCAGATGCAGCGCCGACATGAGCGTCAGAGGCCTCAGACCGGGTGAGTGGCAACGAGTCTGCTTGCCAGTAACGAGATGCCTCGTACTTTTCATCGTCGAGGCTACGGGGCAGATGGCAGGCTAGACAAGGGATCATCGGTACCAAAACTCAACAGGGTCGGGGGCCCCAAGGGACAACATTGGTGAGCAATAAGCGCTGTAGCGCCCCGAGGCTTGCATACATGTGGTTGAGGGTTGTGTCGCAAGTCCATGAAGAGCGAGCTACGAGGAGTCGATATCAGCAGCACAGTTTGCCGCATCGTTGGCGTTGGACGCATCGATGTTGACCAGATGTCCTTCCACACGGACTTAGAGAAAGCCTTCGTGCGACATCTCACCCGCAGGTGCCAGGACTACGTTCCCTCCTTCCAGGATTTGGATGTCTCTCTCGGCGCCTTGATGTCACGCAAACAGTATGCTAAAATCAATCCGCTGGTCTCTCCGGGCCTCAAGATATGCTATTACCATCAGTCCCAACCACATCCTACACAGTGAATCCGGCCGAGGTTCGAGAAGAGCAAATGTGTCTCATTCGAGTGTATGATATGTTTGATAATTCACCGGGGGTCTTCAACTACCGGGTACTATTGAACTCCGAACTTTACATTCAGGCGAGCGCTATGGTCAATTTGGACTCGTTTATCAGGAACTTCTGCGCCCTTTGATGATATGCGAGCGACCGGGAAGGTGGAACCGGATCCAAGAACCAGAATATCTGTCTTCTCCGCCGCCCCTGAAGCCTCGAGCCTCGAACTTTGATGACCACCATGGCACCACCCCTACCCCCCCGGCTTCCAGAGATAGGGAGACAAGGGTGACACCCGCCGATGTGGACCCTGCGGAAGCGCAACTACTTCTCACTGCTCACGCGACTTGATCGATGCCTAGTAGAAACAACCTGTTGATTCGACAAGAGTCGCCCACATTCGTTGGTCTGGTCCCCCAACATGACTTGGTTGCCAAAGTGCCTCCGGTCCCGCTTGCTCCAGGTTTCCACTTACCATTCAAAAGTCAGAACAATGGATTGTTGAGTCGAGGCTGGTTGATGGTGTTCTGACTCTTCCGCGTTCTTGAATCCCGAGTTCAATCTGCATTTCACGCCCAGACAGGCCAGATTGGGATCCTCTTTATCTCTACTTACTCGTACGGGCATTCTGGACCGGTCACATCTTCTCTTCGTAACATATCCATCCCTTTCCTGAAGAAACCGTTATTTCAAAGCCACCAACATGAAGCAATGGGTGCAGAAGCTGAAGGGCGCCTCGATATCGGGGTACAGCTCGCTCACGCCCAGAGGGCTGGGGATGAAGGTGCCAGGGGCCCTGCCCAAGCTGTCGATCGTCGGTCTGGACGTAGAGGTGAGCACGATCATCAGAGGCGACAGCATCGATGTCAGGTACCCGCACGACACGTACTCCACGGAGCTGGAGTGCATCGAGCCGATGTCCATAACTACGCACACCACCAGCGTCAACGTGGTGTCGGGCAGGCACATGGGTATCATCAAGTACCTCGTCGAGGTCATGCAGATACTACATCTACTGCGAACATAGCCTCGTGGTGTCAAATGGAGTCGCCCACGGCGTCGCAGGAGTTGTCGGACGTGGCGGGCATTAACGGCCGGTCAACCTACTCAACTTGGTCAATCATGCCCTTGCTGGAGACCACAGGACGATATCCTCGTCCCAGCGGACCTTGTTCAGTCTCTCTGAAGCCGCTGCCGCTGACACCATGACTGCTATCCGACAACTCGGTTCCCGCCTCAGCCTAGTGTCACCTTCCAGGCTAGCTCTTGTTTTTCGCAACTGGAGATATCAGTCGTCCAGGCCTAGGGGAAAGTATTCGTGGAGTTGATCTGCACTCTCGCCCTCAGCATTGAATGGAAGGCCTGACCTGGTCGCCAGCAGCTCTTGACTCTGAGACCTTGGCGGCATCGGTCCTTGCCCGTTCAATAGAAACAGCCATGCGGTCAATGAATTCGCCCGCAACTGCGAGAGGACAGTAGCAGACTGGACCTGACGGTGCCAGTACAGATCCAGGCTTCATTGCCGCTTTCAGGGCTCTCGATGACGCCGTCTCAGGCAAGCAGACCACATATCTGCTACGAAGGCTAGCCTTTGTCGAGCTGATACGGCTTTCCGACGCGAAAATGAAGACCATGTATAGACCTCGACGACCCAGAGCAGGTCGACTTTTGCCACCGCTCGAGGCCCTGGTTCGCGCATTTGACGTTCATTATCCCACCATTCGCTGCTCAGCCATCCAGGTTTCTGCCTATCCCCCCTTTTGGCCTGATTTTTCTTTTACGCTTGGTATCTTTCTTGGCTACCTTCAGAAAAGGGAGAAGTGAGTCCTTCGTGCCTGTAACTCGACCTCTTCCGCTACCGCTGCCTCAGCCTCAATTCTCCCTGCGACACCCACCCTTTTCTCTCTTGCACCTTTGAGGATCACTTTCCACCAGACCTCAGACGGCTATGTGCGCGTGCACGACTCACTCCCCAATCACCGCGCCGGGGCGATCAAGCTACTGGGGTATCCCGAGGACGTGGGTCGAAGTGCCGTCGCCGCGAAGGTTGCGAAGTGGAGGAGCGTGGATCTGGAGAATGCGGCGGTCGACGCGGGCGCGTTGATTGCTACGCTGAGGGGTTACGAGCAATGGGACGTGCTTCCTCACACGAGAGCGATCAAGGACTTCCCTATCTAGAGAGTAAGACGAGAACTACGCGGAGGAGGACGAAGGCGAAGGTCGCAGCATCAGCGAGGACGAACGATGGTGGCTGAGTACGACCTCGAGCCGTTTGAGCCCGGCGCCCAACAAGAGCGACAAGCACCGCATCATGCTGGTGGTCGTCGACTACTTTGCGCAGCGGCACCAGGACAACGAATTGCAGTCACGAGTATGATGCCGTGGTTGTCAGTGCAGGTGGCGCAGGTCTACGAGCGGCCTTCGGTACACTACGTTCTGTGCCTCGTAGGAAGAATATTCTCTTATTAATGGCGAGATCTTCCGATGATCTACTTTGAAAACACTTCCGATGACCGGTTCTATTCGACACATATCCTATCCCCCTCCATTCCGTCTCTTACGCTCCACTCCCTTATTCGCCTTCGCTGTGGTGGTATGCATCTCTTCCATCAAACCGCCTCTCCACATCCCATCATCACCATCATGCAGCAATCAAGCATAGGCAGCCCAGCCGCAGTACAACACAGCCAAGATGCACCCAAAACTTCCGAAACTTCCATCCCTACCAGGCAGCTTGTCGATGGGTGCCATTCTAAGTAGTGGACAAGGCTGGGAAATCGGATAACCACCTTTTGAGTCCTGGAGACCTATCACTCACATAGTTCCATCTGCATTGATGGTGGGCAATAGCAAACGATGCCGGTATTGCGGTGTAGGCGGTCAGCTCCCCATATTAATTGAGAAACGTCTTTGGGTGTTAGACAAAGCATGAGTAAACGTCCAGAAGCCCTCCTTCAGATATCCAGTGCCCGGCCTGCACCGACTGCGCTGGACGGCGCAGGACTGCCCTCGAGTGTGTTTGATCGCCCAACTTTTTGACTTTGGCGACTTTGGACTTGGATACTGCCTTGACTTGACTTGACTTGACACCCTCGCTGCCTTGTTGTGCCCGTCGGAGTTGAATCCCGTAGCTTTGGACGCCGTCTGTCTTGCTCGCGCATCGTGCATCTCGCGCATCGACCTCGTGAATCTTGTAGCCCGCATATCTTGCAGCCAACGTGATGGCGTGATGGCGTGGGCGTCGTTGTCAGCGGGTTGTCGGAGGTGAATTCCGGGCGTGGCGACTCCCCTGGAACTTTCACCCTGGGGCTCGTTTGCACTCACCCACGGCGCATGCTTGCAATCCCGCTCACTTACTCTCTCGCTCACTCACCGACTGTATTGTACTGTGCTGGGCATTGCCTTGTTTTATTTTGTGGACCATATGTGACGGCAACCGTTATTTCTCACGGGCTGCGGACTGACGAAAGCCAAGTGCCTGCTGAGTGCCCAAAGTTCAATTTCTGTGAGTGAGTGCCTGAGCGCTGAGACTGAGTGCCCTCGACCAAGATCAGGAGGCGCGCCACGGCAGTGTGGCTGAAGCCTGAGGCCGTTAGCGGATCAGGGTGCGTGGTCATGGAGTCTGGCGGAAGAAGGGGTTGGAAGAGGACTACAAGGAGAGAGATTTGCGTTTCTCGGTGGTGGCTCCAGGTTGTCGGCATGAGTCGTAGGCTTGAGGCTGTTCGCCAATATCGTTGGCATGGGGATTGTGACCACGGTCGGACGACGAGTCCTCGGCATGACATCGTTGATCGGCAGCACAGCCCTCTGCCACGGGATGGGGATCGCTGAGTGCTTTGATGGTGGTATTGTTGTGATATGGTATGAATTCTCTCTTGTTGGGCAGCAGCATCTTGTCCACCACCCCAGGCGGACTCACTCCCAGGAGGACTCTCGCCAGTCTCTGCAGTTGATGCAGCTGATGCAGTTGATGCAATCACAAATCTGGAGTAGGATCCGCCTCTGAAGCAGACTCCGAGTCTCTGAATCACGGACGTCTTTATTAGGCAGAAGCAGTATCTTGCCCGCCACCCCAAGCGGACACTCGCCATCTCTTTCACAGTTTGTGCTGTATACTTGACAATCTCTGCTGTAGTTCGTGGGATAACTCGGTCGATTGAATGTAGGATGGACGGCTAATAAGCATAGAATAGTTAACATCGTTCGCAGCTCAGCTGTAGGGCACATCAGTGGAACGGACAGCTAGGGTCCTGGGATAGAATGGAGACTTACACGAGCCAGGTGACCTTCTTCGTTGCAGTGTAGATGTTGCCAGTCATTTCGAGGTAGGACAATCTCGAGCCAGATGGTCTTCCTCGTTGCAGATGTTGCAAGTATCGAGCCAGATGGTCTTCCTCGTTGCAGATGTTGCAAGTATCGAGCCAGGTGGTCTTCCTCGTTACTGTGTAGATGTTGTCTATGGCAGGTGTAGCGTCCTCGTCGAAGAACATGGGCTCTAGTGCATCGAGATCCTCTTGGCCGACCTCTTGCTACACAGGAGTCTCGGTAAGCATCGGTGTTTCAACAATGGAACCATATACACCGGGTGGTATGTCGAAACAATCCTCTGGTTCACCCTTAGCGTCTTCGTCTTCTTCCAGTTCGGTACTGTATCCCTGTTCGTTGCGGATGCCGCAAGTCATCTTTCGAACCAGATGGCCTTCTTCGTTGTAGATGTTGCAAGTCATCATCTTTCGAGGCTGAGGACGATCTCGAGCCGGATGGTCTTCGTCACCACTATTACAACAGGCTTCAATCTCCTTGTTTGGAAAGCCCTACGGCGTCGTGTCAGTCTTGGTTTGGCCACAGTCACGAACACGATGGCCCTCCTCACCACACATGTAGCAAGTAACAGTGGGCTGGGCACTTACGACCCTCAGGGGCAACGCTTGGTAGTGTGACCGAGCTTTCCGCAGTTGTTGCACTTGTCTGCTCCACGATCGAGCGGAATTCCGGCATCAGCGAGAAGACGAGTGAGATTTTCTTCTGGAGACGCAGGCCAGAAGCCAGAGGGCAGAGGGCAGAGGGCAGAGGGTAGAAGGCACAAGGCAAGAAGGTAAGAAGGCAGAGGGGAAGAAGGCAGAGGGCAAGAAGGGTACGCGCACAAACCAAGCCTTTTTTCCTGACGCAGACCCACTCTGACACTCTGGCATTCCGGCATTGTTGTCAGGGCTACTATCCTGGGGGGTTCTGGACTGTGGTCCTGGCCCAGTTGGCAGCATTCATTGGCACCCTCTCCTGCTCTGGCCTGCTCTGCTCTGGCTGCTCCGCCTGCTCTGCATTGCTCTGCGCTCCTCTCCGCTGCTCGCATTAGCAACGAAGGTCTTGCTACTTCCTTCTACAATGAGGGCGACGAAGCTTTAGGTCCATTCCTTACCAAACATCCTACTCGAAACCAACCAGGATCTTCCTGATTTCCTTACACGTTTCAAGCCAGAAGGTGATCTGAACTTTGACGAAGAGGAGGAGCCAGACTTCGAGAACAATGATGGTGCTACGTCGGGCGACGCTGGAGGTGATGCGTGGGGTGCAGGTCGTGCCAACGCTGCCAGCGATGCCTGGTGCTCGGCTGCCGGAACTGATGCAACTGCCAATGGCAATTGGACTGCCTCTGCTCTACCTGCTCAGCCTGGTCTGCCCTGGTCTGCCCTGGTCTGCTCTGGTCGACATCTGCGATGTCGTTGGCGTTGGACGCATCGATGTTGACCAGATGTCCTTCCACACGGACTTGGAGAAAGCCTTCCATGCAGTCCGACCTCGCCAGGCCCCTGAGGTCGCGCAGAGTTCAAGTTGGTTGACTGGAATGACGTCTCCAGCCGCCTGGAACGCACAGCACTCCTTCGAGAGGCATAGTTTGCACAGGAAGTGGTCCGCATTGAGTTGCGACCGAAAGCCTTGCCTTGTGTACAGGCATCTCGCCGTGGCCATGATCAAGACGGGCTACCAAGGAAGGGGGGTTGTTTGTTGCCACTCCAAGCAACGTGAGACACGACATACCAAGATGGAATCCATCCTTCAGAGCCTGGCTCTCTTTGTTATGGTGCTACAGCCACCGAGGTGTCTCAGGAACGAAGAAAAGCTCGATGCCCAGAAGGACCGGCACGATATAAAGACTCCCGAGCGTGATCTGATGAGAGACTTTGTCTGTCTCCGGCATTGAAAGCTGCAAGCTGTGGGAAGAAATAGCCCCGGAGGATGAATGGTCTATCGTTGGGTACTACGATACGAACTTGCACGAGCCAATGCGGATGATGGATGGCTCGCTCGAGCCAGTCACGGGTATCATGCTCGTATCTGTTGCTCCTGGGCTGAGTCGACCTGTGATAACAAGAACCAAGTTTCTGAATATTGTGCTCGGACTCGTGAGCTTGACTGCGATGGTGTTTGGAGATTGCTGCTCGGATCTGCAGTTTGCTGAGATCGAGCTTCGTATCCACCTGCCAGGATAACGACTCCAACTGAGCCCAGAGACCGTACAATGTCTGTCGGGGATGAGTTCAGGGCAGGCACGCAGCATCTCATGGAGGAGGGATCGAACAAGGCCAGTCAACGACTTTTGTTGTGTTGACCAGTGAATCATCGAAGAGAACGTCCGCAGTGTCAAAATTTCTTCACCCGACTATATTGGATGGTCCGAAGCTGACGCGGTCAAACATATGCTCGCCAGGAACAGACATTCAGGTACAGCGTCTGGTTCAGTGCCAACGGCATCGCAAAACATTGCCGGAGGCATCTCAGCGTACGGACTTGGGTACATCCACGTCGGGGGTCTCGCTCCTTGGAAATGGATGTTCCTGGTCACCGGGGCGGTGACCGTGGCCCGCAGCTACCAGGCTTCTGAGGCTCGAGCAGAGAAAAATCACTATTTTCTTGTGTCTTGCCATTTTGGATACTGCGGTACGATGGAAGACGGGAGGGTGATGAAAGCAAGTTGGAGCAGCAACCATCAGCGTGGTCATCGGTTAGGGTCTGGCTGCTGCAAATCCTCAATCCAGTCCCCCCTCGATCACAAAGCAGGACATCGCGGCTATCTGCAGCTCCAGATCCTAGTCCACAAGGACCGATGCTCATCTTAGAGAGGCCCATCCCATGACGCCACTCCAGGTGCCACGGTGAAATCCTTTTTCTCACACCAAAAAGCATGATACAGCTCGCTTAACACATCTGGATATCGATCAGGGCATTCGAGGGCGCAATGACAGCGTACCGAGAGACACGACCAAGCTCTTAGCAAAGAAGAGGAGGACTTCGACGAAGCCGTGGCGTTAAGCGAAGAAGAGGCGCGAAGGCAAGCCGTGAAGAAACGAGAAAGCCGCAATGACAATGATGACCAGGATCCATCGTGAGAGATTTGATGTACCCTGCATCCTCAGCCGATGTTGCAGCTGGAAGCGGACTGCGACTGCCGACGGAAGGAAAATGGATCACTACGGTATCATAGCCAACAAGGGGCTGTCGTTGCCCCTCTGGACTATTCGTTCCGGGCGTATGAAAGCACGCAATCAAGTTGGTGTAAGACATGCGGCGGGGCGAGCGAGTAAACATGATGAATCCGGTCAACAAGACGAACAAAACAAGACAAGGTACAGCACAGCACAGCACAGCACAGTCAGTCAGTCAGTCAGTCAGTCAGTCAGTGGCGTCGAGAATAAAACAAAGCAACACGAAGCAAAACACCGCGCTGCACCAACTACGCTGCACATTGAGCGAGTGAGTGAATCGGTCTGCGTCGAGAACAAAGCCCAAGTCCAGGAGTGCCCTACTGAGAGCTGCTGAGACTGAGTGCTCTTCTCCATCTACACTGCCTACGAGCGTCGACTGAGTGTCCGGAAATGAGTGCTAGGAAAAAAGTCAACATTCTGCGAGCGCCCTTCTTGTCTGCGCTGGACTGCCCTCGAGTGTGTTTAATCACCCAACTTTTGGGCTTTTTGCTACAACACCACTTTTTGGCAAATGCAACTCTCCTTCACCGTTCTCCAACCGGGCAACCTCCTCCATCTCGGTCTCCTCCACCATCTTCGGCGCTCTGCCGAGCGCCGCCCGCGCCAGTATCTACCAGCCTGAAGATAAGCGTGGCCGACTTAGTCCTACTTGCTGGCAAGGTCAAGGAGCAGTATATGAAGGGGATTGGTTTGGGGGGGTTTTGAGAAGGGGTGAACGCCGTTACGAACACACTGAAATGGGTTGTCGAGCGTTTGGAAGCTTTGGATTAGGTCCCTATGCACATACCATATTGCTTATGTACTTGAGAGGAAAAGGAGGGTTCTTGACGATATGCAATCCTCTACAAATATGACTTTTGGTCCAGCAACTGCTGTGGAAGCTTTGGATATGATGGACTGCGTCAATGGAGAGATACCCCAGGTGAATGGGGTCGAAAAAGTCAGCGGGATGATTGAGGACGGGGACGCGAGCATGATGAGCCCTGAAAGCTTACGAGTTACATGACGGGGTCCGGGTCAGATTGGTCATGAAGCGAACTAGAAAAGGGGATGTTGGGTGCCGTGCAGTGCCTATCATCCAAGAAGATGCGGAAGAATTAGTTGGTAGTCTTCGAGGCTATCTCGAGATGTAGAGACCACGAGCTCACCGCGATCTACCCAGCACCTACCTTGACCGTTGACTACCAATGGGGCTATTGACTTAGTCCTAGATGCAGAGCAGCAATCAGAAACAAAATCAAGCAATAGTGCTGGCTCGTACCATCCAGATCTGGTGATATTCCTCGCCATGAGGTTGTATGATTCGTGGAGCATGCTGGTCTCGGCGTACGTACAAGGCTGGCTACCCCACACGAGGCCGAGCGCACACTTATCTTTGTGTTGTCGCAGTCACACTTCTTCCGTCTCAGAATTCATGTCTCAATTGCACCCTTAACGGCGATCTCTCCTGTTCTAGGTCACGCCGTGATACAGAGCAGAGATTGGTGTCGCCAAACAGCGTTTAGCCCAACTGGAGCCGAATATCGCCAATTGTTCGCGGGGTCCTTTCATCATGCCGACTGCCCTGGTCACCGGTGCTACCGGTATTTATGCCCTCTGTCTTGAGCACGCTCATCCTCTTGCTTTTGACTTCATATCTACCGACACCGAGCTGACCGACCACTACAAGACGAAGCATCGCCAGCCATGCAATTGTCCAGCACCTCTTGACCCCTCCCCGAATGGACGCACATCATCACTCTGTCGCGGTCAAAGCAACTCCAACCCCACGATAAAATCATCCATTCCACCATCGACGTACAGTTGGGGGCGCACCCCATGTCCGACGCGTTGAAGAAACTGCCCGTGGCGGTCGACTACGTCTTCTTTTGTGCTTATGTCGCTCACACACACCCGGCCGAGACGCCCACGATCAATGTCGCGATGCTGCAGAACTTCCTCGACGCACTCGGCTCCAGTGGGGTGGCCAAGACGCTGAAGCGCATCATCCTGGTGAACCCAGTGCCCAAACAGTACGGCGTGCACCTGGGCCAGCCCAAGAATCTCATGCACAAGAGGGATCCGCGGTTGGAAGGCGAACCGTGGCCGCGCAACTTCTACTACGAGTAACAGGACTTCCTGATCCTGGGTCGTCACCCATCCGCAGGACGTCATCGGCGTCGCGAAGAACAATACAGCCTTAACAAAGACACGTGGGACAAGGCGACGTGGAGACTCATTCCTCACCTTGTTGCTCGGTCGGCAGTTCTTGTGCGTGGTTAGCATGAGCAAGACCCGGAAGATTGGATGGACAGGTTACGTGGACACGTGGGAGGCATTCGAGGAAACCTTTGCCTTCGAGGAGACAACCTTCAACGCTCTGTGTGGTGTTGGCCGCAGGCGCCGAGGCGTGCTGCGGAGGCTGCAGAGGCAGCGCCAAACCAGCCAAATTGCGATAAAGGCGCTCTAGAGGGAACGGCCTGGGAGATTCCTCTACCCCTCTATCCAGTTGACCTTTTGTTCATCAAGAACAACACCAATCGCCTTGGCTCCGCGACTGGATCAAGCGCAAATCGGCCGAACGGAACATTCTTGCCTATCTTCAACCTCAGGCCCTACCTAGCCTGTCCCACCACGAATTCCTGAGCAAGTCACCACAGAAAAGATGGAACACTAGTCAACATGGGGGGTTTACCCAATCGAACGAAGAATGGCCAGACTTAAGATGTCAAATCCAATTACGCAGTCTGATTGCCAGCCTGTTAGATGGAAGTGCGTGCCCGGGAGTGCTACAACGCAGTATCCAGCCCTGTTATAATCGATCCAATCAGTCTTGGCCCAATCAAGTTGGTTCTACACGTCCTCCGGATCTTGAATCTTTCCCTCCAATTTCGTCTTCAAGATGGCATTCGTCGTCTGCTCAAGCAGCTCTCTCTGCTCCGCAACCTTGTTCTGCATATCCTCGATCAGGATAACTGACAAGTTCAGAATGATATTACCACCAACATCAATCTTGATGGTCCGAGATGAGCTTCCACCGCAGTGCTGATTGACAAAGCCAAGTTTTGACTAGAACCACTCTAAAGCTGTCTTGCAAGGGTCAGGCGCATTGGGCTCACATGTCAGCGGGACAACTGGTACAGCAACATCCACCGAGAGCTCCAATGTGGGGACCGCCTCTGGTTTCGACAAAGCGGACGCCCAGCCCGAAGGCACCGCACCCAACGAGCCCAAGTTGACACAAGGTGGTGCCGAAGTTCAGATTCTTATACGCCATGTGGCGGACTATATTGTCCGCTCACACGGGGAGTATGGAGATGCACAGTCGTTTGTCGAGGTCTCATCCAAGACCTTCCAGCAGCAATGAGGTCCATGCACTGGAACCCCAAATCCGTACCCTCGAGGACGGGAAGGACTTGACAGCACACCGCATGGGGTTATCGGCAGGAGATATATCTCGTCGTGGCCTCCAGTGGCTATTTTCCGGCATGAAGGGTCCGTGCTGGGGATGGCTGTCCGGTGGGCAAGGCTACATCTTCACATAAGCCAGCGGCGGCTGAGTGCCGGTTCGAGCTTTGGCACTGAGTGCGGTGCCGGCACGACTCCCGTTCGGTCTTCCACAGCTGTCGCGAGACCCATTCGCCTTTCTCGACCAGCTTGTCTCGATTCACTCCAGTGTTCACGCCCATCTGATCAAATAGGTACGCCACGTCTTCGATGGCGAGGTTACCTCTGGCTACCACGGCGTCCCAAGCATCTAAAGCCGAGGATGGTGGATTTCAGCGCGTGGCAGCGCTTTCTCTGACTCTGGGCCATTGGAGACTACGACGGCACAGGTTCGTGCGCCGAGTCTGGGCCCGTTCGTGTCCAGATCGTCACCAGCATCGGCTTCAGCACGGACATGACGCTCTCCAATAGCGGTTCCGACGACTGGCAGCCCTTCCCTGAGACAAGATCCCTAGACGTGGCCCTTCACCGCCTCTCCCCCACCAAATTTCCGTCTTCCACCCTGGGAAAAGATAGGAGAGCAAAAAGAGAAGGCTAACAGAATGGACACAATACAGGGCGAGGCATGGGCCGTGAGACCCGGTGCGATGGCAATGCATCATCTTCTCGCAAATCACAGCATGCAGATATAAAAACTTGTCCAGATCCTCTTTTGCACGCACGTGGACCGGCGGTGTTATGCTTGATCCCGCTGCTCATTTCAGATTGGCGATACCCAATGTTCTAGGACATCATGGTATCAATCCAGGTTCGAATGTCCAGGCGAGCCACGGACGACAGCACGGAGTTCTTCCGGGATTCGGGTAGCCGCCGCTCCCTTTCAACCGCGCCACAGCGACAGGCAGTCCAATGCCATTGATGAGAGCCAGACCACCAGCAAGGTCTCCCGGAGGGTCACGTATTGTTTGGCGATCCGAGGGGGTACCGTGCCGGCCTCTTCCGCCAGAATCGAATGCCATTGGAGACGATGAGAAGGACGCCGAAGAGGACCAAAAGCGATGATGCGGCTATCAATGCTCTTCGCGCATATCGGCCACAATAGGCTTGCTTTTCCTTTTTCCACTTCTGTCAGGAAGTGCTTCCGCCTCAGTATGCTCCCTGCGAAAGTCCTGTGCATGAACTCTGTTATTCTTACCGAGCGATTTGACATCTTCGAAAACGCCACAAAACGCCTGATACTCCAGAGCTGTCAGTCATCCGCGTCCTCGAGTAGTCGCTCCGGTATTCTTCGATGCGGCGAACGGCCTCTGGTTTCGAATACCCAAATATCCGTGGCCATCGTACGATATCCCGCTCTGAGATCGTGTCTTCTTGTATAACTGAGACGCTGAGAGCCATGCTCTCTATGTTGATGATCTGGGAGACGTCCGACACGTTGGCTTGGACGGCGATCAAGTCTCAGCCGAGGGCCTTGATCTCAGCCACCAGCTCATCGGCGGCCTTGGAGGAGTTGGCATAGTTGACCATAACTTCGGCGCCACGGCGCGCGAGTTCGAGAGTGGTCGCCCTGAGACAACCAGATCTTCGCTTGGATACAAGTAAGTGTCCAGGTTCAAAGTCCTGACCATCAGCGGTTACTGTTCTCGGCGTCTTTATCTCCAACGATCAGGTCTCCGACGACTCATACTATTGTATAGACCAAACAGTGTCAAGCTGGACTTTTTCGCCGTTGAGAGCCATCACATGGACGTAACCCTGTCGATGCAACTGTCAGCCGCCTCTTGAAATAAGAGAAGGGGTGAGAAGCCTTCTCTCACCTTTGGCCGGATGTACGACGTGGTCGCCGTCGTTCATGCTTTGGATATGTAGCCCCTGCCATATCAACAGGTGTTAGCTTCGCTCCTCCCAAATCCGGAGCTTCGTCTGGTTTGTGGGTGGACTCCGCCATCGGTCTTCGCATCAGGGACCTGGAGCATACGTACGTGGAAACAGATGCAGCTTCCTCTGGATCCGACCACATTCAACAGCGCCATTGGCATGTACATGCATGGTCCTCTTGACCTCAGAGACTGCATGGCGAGACGGAGCTGTCCAGACCAACCGGCTGACAACCCCCGTGCGCTCGCCGGTCTCTATGCCGATCCGGTAGAGAGGTTGGCGAGTTGGGATTTCCAGAGGGAGAGGATCAAATACCGACGGTGTTATAGGGATATCTGTTTCCATTTTCGAAAGGCCGACCTTGCTTTCCGTCTCTTCGAGTGAGGCTTTCCGTCCTTCTCATTTGCCTAAAGTGCACGGCGAAGAGTGGCAGTGGCCCAAACGGTCCGGATTCGATGGGCATTAGGGGGACATTTCAACTTGGGCATCTTTAAGTGGACGAATTGCATCTATCCCCTTCTCCCGGGTTATCGACATTACATATATAGAGGTTTTCTCGATCTCGTCATCGGTGTTAAGAGAGCACTCTACTTAGATGCTCAGTATTCCTGGAGAGCATTGTGCCGAAGCGAGGCTGAACCCCGTCCAGCGAATATCTCCCCTTGAAATCCGTTTCTGTCGCTGGTTACCTCCCAGGTGCCTCTGGTGAAACTGTGACCTGCTAATTGACTTGCCCACATCTGCGCTTTGCAAACTCTGCTGTGTTCTGGCTGAAGATGACGCTCGTCAAGCCGTACCAGGACTCGTTGACGATGTCGACGGCCTTCGAGGCCCCCGTTGGCGGAGGGTTTTTACTCTTCTGGATCGTCATCCCATGGAGGTTGCTACCCAACACCATTTGTGCTGTCTTCAGCTATGTCTTTAAAGCCTAGGTATTTCACCACCTCCGCTCGAAAATTCTTGGACACGCCGTGGGTATCGAACACGCAATCACCAGGAACGACGCAGTCATCACCGCCTACCGATGCCACGGCTTCGCGCTCATCCGTGGTGGCACCGTCTAATCCATCATTGGGGAACTCTTTGGCCGACGAGAGGGCATTGGCTACGGGAATGGAGGCTGGATGCACGTGTTCGCTCGAAACTTCTACGGCGGTAATGACATTATTGGGGTCCAGGTGCCGGTCGGCGCTTGCATTGCCTTCGCGCACCAATACACTGGCAGCAAAACTGCGACGGTCACTCTTCTATCATTCCAACTGCGCCATTCCTGGCATTGCAAGTGTCATGCGGATCGTCGGCGAACAGGCCATCGATGAATCAGTATTTGAAAGGCTCATGCTTTGCAGGGAGGTTGCAGAGAGGGCTCATGCATTGCAGGGACGGTTCATGCTTCACAGAGAGGACTTGAAGGAAGGCTTATGCTTTGCAGGAAGGCCTTATGCTTTACGGGAAAGACTTCAGGGGAGGCTCATGCATTGCAGGGAGGGCTCATACTTTACGGTAAAGACTTGAGGGGAGACTCAGGCTTTGCAGGGAGGACTTGAGGGAAGGCTTATGCTTTGCAAGTTGACTGACAATGACGCAGACTCTCAAAGACATTCAGCGTCCGATCTCAACTTCGCTTTCTTTTATCCACACGACTGTTTGACAGCACCCCTTTCCTTGTCTTTGGGCGAAAGTTGCTAACAATCTCAGTTTAAACAACCTCAGGTCACACAATCAGATTTCATATACGGGGCACACGCAATGTCGGGGTTAAAAAGACGGGGCAAACAATGTCGGGATCCACAATCGGGGTGAACATGTCAGACATCATGATCTCTGCCCTGAGAAGATCTCGTCAAGAGACCTGGAGAACAATACCTAGCAGGTGAGTTGCAAGGGATATCAGATGTTTGACAGTAACGCTTCTTGGGGTTGAACAAAGGCTGACTCTGAACATGAACATAGGGCAGGCAACTGGGCACTGGCATCCTGGCCCTTCGGAAGACCTCCAGTCCGAGCTGAAGATGTTTCAATTCTCGCCCCCTGCTTACGCCACCGCGCCCTCCAGGCCCGGGCTTCGATTTGGGTCCGAACACGGACTGTATGTACCACAGGTTACAGGCCGAGTGAGACGACAAACATATGCAACGTTCGACCCCCCCCCAGATCTCAAAGTCTGCCATACTCAACAATGTTGGTCCGCCCCGCTACCGAATGCGTCCGTCGTTATCTGCCAAAGACAAGAGCATGTGTTCGCCGGCCAGAGGGAAAGGGCTCAGTGTTGAGTCGCCCCTCGATGGCTCGGAACAGGACCAGTCAACAGAACAAAGCAAAGCAAAACACTGCACTGCACTGCACCGGCTGCGGTGGACTGCACGATAAAACGAGATCCAAGATACACAAGACAGATCCACATGATGCCAGATCCGCATGATCCTTCAATAAGTCAGTGAATGGGAGGGTGTATCCACGCTGAGAACAAAGCAAAGGTCCGGGTCAGGTGAGTGCTGAGTGAATAAAAGTCGAAATCCTGGAAGTCGTCGCGTGCGCAGTGTGCTGGGTGAAAAAACTATAAATTCTGTAAGTTGCCCTTCTTGCCTTCTACCTTCTCTACCTTCTCTCTCTACCTTTTCTCTCTACCCTTCTCTCTCTACCCTTCTCTCTCTACCCTTCTCTCTACCCTTCTCTCTCTACCCTTCTTGATTATATATATAAAGTCGAGAGGGCCATCGTGTTCCTGACTGTGGCCAGGAGCGTAGGAGGAGCGTAGGCGTGGTGGCCATCATCTTCTTCGACGAAATCGACGGCGCCGGCGGTGACAACGAAGTCCAGCGGACCATGTTGGAGCTCACGACCAAGCTCGTTCAGAAGCACAGCTTAAGCGACAGCTCGAGCTTTCGACCTACTTCACCATACCCAAACTTGAGGTCGCTCATCGACAATTAGCTCTCATGGCGGCTATGGATTTGGCCTTCTCGAATAGACAATACTCGAGTGCTTTGTCTTTTGCAAATCGAATCCTTGCCAACGGGGGCGTGGCGTTTTTGACTCGAGAGGAAACATCAAGGCCATGTTTGCCACCAACCGTCCGTCGACGCTGGATCCAGCCTTGGTCGTGCCTGCAAGACTTGCGAGCCAGACAAACACTCAGCCAAGGTGTGTCCTGTCCTATCCCAATTGCATCTATGGCCAAACTCAGACTAACTTGATGCCGTAGGACTGTCTAAACGAGTAGATCCGAGCCTGTCGCAACTACGGCGACGAAGACCATCTCACTCAAGATTATCCTCACTACCCCCATGAAATGGGTACGCAAGAGACGATTTGCAAGAATAAAACGAGCGCGTATGGATGATATTGAAGCGGCTAAAAGGAGGGTTCACACTCTCATCGAGGCGGATAACGCGGCAAGGCGTCCCCTAGCTCTAAATATCAACTTCTGGACCATAATCCGCGTCTTGACGAACAAGGATACAGCACTGAACTGGAAGAAGACGAAGATGCTGAGGGTAAACCAGAGGATTATTTCGACATACTATGTTGAAATACCGATGCTTACCAAGACTTCTGTGCAGGAAGAGGTCGGCCAGAGGATCTCGATGCACTAGAGCGCATGTCCTTCGGCGACGATGCTACACCTACTACCGCGGGTTCTCCTCTGAGACCACACTTGAGGAAAGCAGGGAGATCCTGGGTCTTAATTCCAGACAATATCGGGGTATTCGCGATCAGTTCCCGTCGATTTAGGATGAGGAGCAAATCATGCAAAAGACAGTTGCGGGAATGGAGAAATGGCAAGCCGTTAAGGATCGACTGGTTCGCGAGAATACCCTATGACAGGCTGTGATGTGGTACGACACTAGGAATCTTCAATCCAAAGAGCTCGCACTGGACGTAGCGCCGTGGCACCCGAGTGCTTGATTGGTGGCGAGACGGGGAGACAGTGATCAAACCAGGCAGGCGGGTCCATGTCAGCGCAAAGACATGCATAGCTGTACTGCTCTGACGTTGAGCCCGCGCCGAAATGTCAAGGAAGGCACTACCAAGGGCTTGGTACGGCAACGAGATAGATAGCTGTACAGTTCATTCGTTCCTGATGCAATCATTCAATTCATTGCCTACGTTGCCGCCTTGCCACGAAAGAAAGCGCCGAGCCCATGTGCAGTGGGCGATGATGCGTCAGAGTCTGGTCCGCGTGCTGTGCATTGATCGGTATGTGTCTCGAATGCCACAAAGACGGAGGGCGGCATGGCTCCGAGGAGGACGCAGAGCGTTGTTGTTAACATGACATCTCCAGCGACGTCCTCGAGGATCGACGCGTGTCATCAAGCAACCACCCGCTTCACTCCTACGACCCAAGTCGATCCCTGCTGTAACGCCAAAGTTACCTCCCCTTTCCACCTCTACAACCATGACTCCCCCCGACCGTCCTTTGACGTTGAATAGCCCGGCAACCCCGTCAAAGTTACTGTCCACGACCTCGAGGAGGAGAAAAGAGATAGAGAGATCTAGTGGTCAAGATTTCGGTGCGATCCATCCGTGGTGGAACACCCAAATGGCGCCGTGAGCTTCCGTGGCTCTTCGATGACGCCATCGTATCAGCCGCCAGGCCAGCAATTCCACAACCGACCACCCCATAGTCATATGCGTCTGCTATAGTGTTGTCTGGAGTATCGTGGGAAGTGGATGGGAAGCAGGTGATGAGCCGTTCATCTGGAATTTGGGTTTCGTCGACGAAGAGACGCCCTCGGGCGGTGGTGAAGCCGGCGTGGGAGACGATCGGGAGGTAGCGTCCATAAACGTGACAAGAAAAGATAGCTGCCGGCCTACGGGTAGTCTAGTAGGTTATCGCCGTTAAGGATATCTTTAAGCGTTTGGAAGCCCTGGACCGTGTTCAGTCATAAATCCCCATCTCTCAGTGCCCCCCCCTCCGGTAGGGGTAGTAGTGTACACAGGCTATACTGCAGAAGTGGGAGCTAGGTTGCTGTCCCGGCCAGTAGCACTAACGTCTGTTGCACCGTTTACCTTCCCACTCGGCATCCGTCGGCGCTTCGCCTTTCCCTCGTGCTTTATTCGCGAGATTTGTTTGAGATGAATCGTGAGCTGAGACTTGTTACAAAGTGGGCGGAAATGCAGTTTCTGTAGATTAGATTTATATCTGTAAGGCTGTAGACGTCCGATTGTCTGACTGTAGCAGAGAGCCTCGCTCCACCAATCAAATTACGCCGTTTACGGAGGACCGAGGGCATTCCGCCTGCAGTCCTGGCAACACCACTAGAATACGTTGGAGATTTGCAAGATAGCAAGAGAGTAAGAGAGCAAGAGAGCATGTTTGGAGATTTGCAAGGGTTTACAGTAAGTGTGCCCAACGGCCCAAGTTTTTCCCTGACAAAGTCTAACTGGCCGGCCCACGGAATTCCGACAAGCACTCAAGATTTACACTAGGCAAGTAGCAGGAGGTACCATCTCGCTTCAATAACATCTCGTCCATCCGTCGCTCACTCACCAAGGCGATCGAGTGAGCGAGCGACGCCGACCCAAGCGTAGCCCATCCCGTAATCGACCCCGATGCATCTCTATCTCTCTCTCGGCCTAGGCAATAGTGGACACATACTAGATATACAATCTACAACCCGTCCACGGCGGTTTTCTCTTAGGGTTTCTATCAGACCGGTTGTTTAGCCTCCAGGGCCGGCACCACTACGTCGTAGTGGCTGTCGACCCGTGTCGACATAACGTTAAGGCATATTTTAGGTTTACTGTACGGGTACATCCAATAAGGTCTCTTCTAATCGGCCCTTTCTGTCCTCCATAACAAGCCTTAGGCACCGGTATAGGTTGATTTAACATTACACGTACCTTAAAAGGGTCGGTAAGACCCTCTGAATCAACTTCATGAAGTAGCCTAATGTCTATAGCCTAAATGGCTCGAAGCTACGCGGGCCCCTTGTGGAAGTCCTTGAAGAACTACAGATACTAGACAGAGAAGTGCCTGAAGAGTCTCCTAGCCCTTCGCAAAACGCTACAGAGGAACTGAAGGCTAATACCGTTGAGGAATCAAAGGTATGGATTGAAACACTAACGGCTCCCGGCCCTTTAACGATCTATATGTGTGAATACACCGTTGTAGAAGGATGCACAGTCGCTCGCGTCATGCTCTCTTCACGTCTCCTCTCGCTTTTGCCTCTTTTCTCTAGCCTTCTCCCCTCTTGCTCTTTCTCCAAGGGAGGAAAGCAGGTGTTTACCAGAGCAGACGTGCCAGCGGGCTACAAACCTGGATGAAGGAGGAATGAAGCACGACCCGGTCAGTGGTTATTGACGCTGCTCAGTTCTTCCAAAACCTGAACCCGAGTCACAAAAAGATATCAGCATCTCGGGAATGGGCAGTAGCTGGTTGTTAATAAAGTCTCTGATACCCCATTCAAACTGGTCTCTTACCCACACTCTCCGGCGTCGTATACACAGCTGGCTTGCGAGCGCTCCTGCTTCAGACCAAACTGGCAATACCCCAGAATTCTCCCCCCCCCCTGGGGCCCCCCTTCCCCTTGCCCGAACGGCGACACTGTTCGACGTTATGCAGCAATTCCAAGTCGACCTTTTCAATGTGCTAGGGGCCTTTACCCTTACTTCCAGATCTTCCTTCGTATTCTCTGCATCAGGGATACGAATCCACCTGTGCCGTCAACATACTGCTTGGTCTCCTCCCAAGATTCGGCGACCTTGTCCCCAAGTACGCCCGCGAGTTCTTTAAGGGTCCTTTTCATTGAGATCTTGAAGAACAAGAATAAACAAGACCGGATGTCGCTGGAGAATCAAGGTCGTCGTTCGAAGTAGCCCTTTTCCACCGCGACAATGCGGTTTGAGTTAGAAGGCTTAGGGTTAGGGCATCGCTGTATGAGCTGTGGTGAGAAGCTCTGCAGTGATGAGGCATACAGTCATGATTTCACCGCCCGCTTACCTTTGTGCTACCATCCCATTGCTAGCGGCGCAGTTTCTCGGCTTCGATGCTGCTGCGCCTAAGAAGCTAAACATCATGTTTATGTTGACCGACGATCAAGACTGATCTAACTGATAGGTGAATGCGATACTTAGGATCAAAGATGATACAGAACTAGTCTATTAATATCGATGTTAACACGCTTGAAGGAGCTTCAAGGCTGACCGGTTCGCAGTGCCCCTTTTTTGCGATAGCCTTGCCGAGTCAGTGCTAGCTGACTCAGGCTCGGTGTCACGTGAAGGCGTTCACGACAGTTTCCCTCGCTCTTATCAGCCCCATCTGCGACATTTTCACTCCCAGCAGGCAAAACTACCCCTGAGTTGCCCAAACTTGACCGTGGACACCGCCAGCAACTCACTCCCGGCTATCATCCAGCTGCATGCGAAGATCAATGTTCAAGTCCCTGCCGAGGAGGAAATCCTACGTGTTCATGCCATCTCCCATGATGGAAGGAAGTGGAGCGAGATATGGCGGCGGCGGCAAGCTGCCCAAGGGCCATCGTGTCATGTTTCCTGCAGCATGGTCATATCCAATGACTGACATACTTTCCAGTCTCTCGCGGGCATCCTTTACCCCCGTCACATCCTCCCGTTACACTGTCTGCGCCCTCTCCGACTGCCCTACCGAATCCTTGACCATCGACGGCAGGATGTTGACCGGCAGATCACTGGCAGCGACACACGCCACCTCGGCCGCGGTAGTTATACGGCGGGATCACCTCGACGACATCAGCACCGACTCCTGTTAAGATTGCAATGGCTCGTTGGGCCGGTTGAAAAGTACTCGGTACATACATACCCGTTGGACAGGCAATGTGAAGCCAGGCCTCGAGACTCCTGGAGATCCATCACAATGGGCTGCGTCTCGGCTAATTTGGAGACAAAACCACCACCGTACCCGCTTCTGGAGCAACCAGGCAGCACAAGCCAAGCAATGGAGCCAGCAAAGCCGCGGCCCCCAATAAACATCCCACAACACCGAACCCAGGCGCGATGAAGCGCAAGCCGGCAGATGATAGCAACTCCAAGCAGCCACCCTCTGGGAAGAAGGCTCCCAGCAAGCCCAACACGTCATCTGCGCCAAAGCCCGCAAAGCGCGGCGGCCAATCGACCAGGCTTCTGGCGGATTAAAGAAGACGCAGTCAACGGTGGCCGAGGGCCATGGCACAAATAAGCATAGGCGGCTATTTCCAGTATGTATGAGGAGATTAATGTGAAAGAGCTGCGCTTCACGATCGAAGACGACGTAGCAAGCTGGGGATTTTCACCGTATGCTTCATGCTGGAAGTTCCCAGTGATCTGTCTGTGATGGTCTCGAAAGGAGAGAGCTGGGTAGATTCAAAATTGAGATTCTTCAAGGCGGCGAGCAATCTCACCTGATCAATCGTGTCTGTTGAAGTCATTCGAAACACGATAGACGACACCGAGGAGGGAAGGACGAGCTCTGGATGCCGTGCGGATGTCACAAGCAACGCCAGATGCGATGCAAAGACGGTTTCTGCGTGCTCTTGGGTCTCCGGCGCGCGAGAATCCGACTCAGCCTCGTCCTTGCTCCGTCCCAGCGACCGGAAAGTCCGCTGGTTGCAAGGGCGTTGGTCTTGGATGCTGTTCCTTTGGGCGTTCCGAGTCGCTGAGGACGACGGGGCCCAACGGTTTTCCCACCTCTTTCATGGCCTGCGAGACAGACCTGCGCCAGATGATCAAGCCATTGCCACTCGCCAACGTTCATCTCCCGGTTGGCGAGCGCTTTTTTCAACCGACCTACACTCCTCCTGTCGTGCCGCCGTTGTCTCTGTGGCCCAACATGGCCAATTCTCCCGAGAGTCCTGTGCTGCACTGAATGTTGGGAGTTTCACCCTCAAGCGATGACTGGATTCAACCAACGGCTAGGATTTGTTCAGCTCGGACTCGTGGACAGTAAGGCAATTGGTCCGATCCCGACGACGACGATGCCGCGAGCCAGAGCAATCAAGCCGACACAGCAGCCCTCCCAGACCGCCTGCGAGAGTGAACTTGTCGCGAGCGACTGCCGTTGAGGAGGCTGTCATGTCCTTCCGACGCCGCGCTCTTGAGCTTGATGTCTGCCGCCTCGTCAGAGACCGCTGTGATCTCGGGATTTGGCGTTGATGACGTCGACCGAGGGAAGATGACGAAGAGGATGAACGAGGGAAGAGGAAAAGGAAGAAGATGATCGAGGGAAGATAACGGGGAGGGTGGGCATACCCTGCCGTCGAAAGCCACGTCGTGGCGTCCAAAGGGGAATTCTTCCGGGTTGACGTCCTTGAGCCACGGACTGTCCTTGGGGGGGCTTTCTTGCGGGAATGCATCAGGCTGTGAGCGCCGATGTACTCGTTTTCTAGCAGGTCATTGCGCAGATCTCCGGGCAACTCGTCGAAGGCCGCAGACGAGAACGCCCAAACCTCCATCCAGCCCGACCAAGAGAGAGGAGAAAGAGAAGAGAAGACCAAGGCGCAGGATGTGGCCGAGCTGAAAGACTACGAACTGGGAGATTGCTTGGATAAAGGTGCCTTTGGCTCTGTTTCCCGATTGACGACAGCCATTGGCCCGGTTCGCCCTCTTAAACCGCAACCGCCAGCATAAGGATATGGCAATGGTGCATACATCGTGAGGATCTGACATCGGCTCATTGATAGAAGGGAGGGTGTAGGACGTGTCACCCGTCGGCAAGGCTTGGTAGGGAGTCCGCGATTCTCTGCTGCGGATGTCGCACAGCCGTCATCTCCGCTCCAACGAAGCCAATTTGCAAATCCACCCACGGTCACAAGCTTTCCACCGGCGCATCCACGTCCACCTCCGCGACCTGGCAGTACCAAATACCATTGCGACGTTTGCTCCATCGACATCACCTCGACTGTCCGCATGTCTTAGGCGAATCCTGCATGCCGCGAATACGATCTCTGTGTCCCATGTTTCGCTCGCGGAGAACACTCCAAAAACCACGATCCCCGCACACATGAAAACCATGTAGTGGAACAGAACTCGATCCCCATCGATACCAGGGCCGGTGCCTATGTCGGTGGTGCTCCCCAGCTGAGTCCCACCCCCCCTCCCCCCCAGCCTCCAGGGCACGGCGGTGATTCCCTTCATCCAAAGCCTATGCGTCATGCTCGGAGACCGCGTGATCTACCAACGCGTCGTCGACGTCAATCGCAAAGAGATCACCGCGTGCTTGCTTGGTACAGTCTCGGCCAGGCGTGCACTAGGCGAAGAGCAGTGATCAACCATGAAACCAGACGGGCAACAAGAACAAGAACAAGCTTATCGCCGGCGGTCTTATTCTGTTCATCCCCAACCTCCGCAATACCCCGGGCAAGAGAGCTGGAGGAGAAGAGAATCAATAAGGAGCTCGCTAACATCTGCCAGAAATTCAAGAGCGAGAGAACTGGAGAAGAGAATCAACAAAAAACTCGCGAACATCCGCCAGAAATTCAAGAGCGAGAAACTGGATGACTAACAGAAGAAGAAATACGTCTGCAAGTTGCTCTACATCTACATCCAAGTGGATACAATGTCGACTTTGGACACCTGGAAGCCGTCCATCTGATCTCCGCAACCAAACACTCCGAAAAGCAGATTGGCTCTCTGGACGTCACCCTCTTCTTACACGGTCGCGAGTGAGTGTCGTCGAGAGAGGAGGCTGTTTGAGGGCAGTCCAGCGGAGACCAGGAGGCACAGGGCAGAGGGCATGGCAGAACTTGAACTTTGGGCACTCGCAGGCACTCAGTCTCAGCACTCAGGCACTCGACAGACACTCCCAGAGCTTTCAACTTTGGTCTCGACGCCCAGCACCCACTCACTCGCCAGTGCACAGTTGCAGCGGGTTATGACACCGCTGGCGCCACTTCTATTCCCGGTCGGGTTGCCCTCGCGTGGCTTCTGCGGCGTCTTCGCTGGCCCACGTTCCAACTGCTCCGTTTATCCCCATGAGCCTCCAACTGTTTTCGACAAACACGGCCGGCCGAGCCAAGTGGACGGGTCCTGGACTCCTCGAGGCACTGTTCACAACGACGACGGGGGTACGACCGTGGCCAGTAGACGATGACGGGATGGCGATGGAGGGGAGGCGGTATAGGAGGGGCTAGCCAGGACTCTGGTTGGACTCGACTAGAATTCCCCCTCCAGGCTTTCCCTCCCCTCCTCTTGCCGCCACTCTCGACGACACCACACCCGTCCATGCCGTCCAGGTAAGAAGACGCTTCCCGCGCCTCCCCCGCGAGGGGGAAGGCGACTCGAATGTCTTTCTTCGCGTCACGGGGTAACTGCTACGAAAGACGATGCCACCAGGGTGTTTGGAGACCTCGCGCCCCGGGCGGACACGGGCAACCTCGGAAGGCCCCAAGGTCGCTCGATCGACGGCGTGTCAACGTGGTCGGGCTTTGCTTTGCGTGGGGCGGGTGAGTGCTTCGAGCTTCTCGTCATGCATAGGATGTCAACAAGTGTCTTTCTCTTTCCTTTTTCCCTTTACTTCTCTCTCTTTCTCTTTTTTCCGTTCTCCGGTTACATGCACGACGACCGCCTGGGCGTCGACGCCGACTAAGTCTGGGTCGATCTGTGCCGTGGTGATGCTACTGCCTCGCAGTACTGCAAGGCTTTTCTCCAGATCTACGTCGAGACCTCCATGCGCCATCGCATCGTGCTCGACGAGAGAGAAGGAGGTCGAGGAGAGGACCATCGAGTCGTGTCGGTCCCTCAATACGTTCTGGAAGTCGTTGATCGCTGCAGACGACGCTAAGATCTTGCTTCCTATGCGCGAGGACCGGGCCAGGGAGATCTAGCCGGCGTCGCAAAGGCGAAGAAGGATCTCGACCAGCGACGTCGCGCCCTTTACGACCTGCGGCTCGAAGATGCGCAGGAGAAGTACCTTGCCGAGGCAAACAGGCTCAGGGCAGAGGGTATATCGACCGACACGTTTCGACAACGCTCGCGTTCATCCAGAGGTTGCTGCGACCACGCCGCGCTTGACATTGGTGGCTTGATGACCCTCTGGACTGGCAAGGCAGGCTTCGGCAACCGTACGGGCAGATCGGAGGAACTCGTCTTCGACGACGAGGCAGAGGACCGCTCGGAGAAGGCCATGTTTTGGTTGCTTCGCTACGCTGCTCCTGACTAGCGTCCCCAGACTCTCCGTCCGACACCCACTCTCCTGTCCTCAGCCGCAGTGGTCACGAAGACCGCCTCCAAAGCCGGTCGTCGGCGGTCCCAGGCAACGAAAGAGGCCCAACCGGACATCTGGTTTTGCCTCCTATGCGACGACAGGTCATTCTCGGCAGCTCCCTCACTCGTCACAACACGGACTACCATGTTCACGACCAAAACAACTTCCATCGGCCGTTCCCGTGTCAGCGGTGGAGCCTCGACGGTGTCTCTTCTGCAAATCAACCTCAATCCAGTAAGCCTCCTTTGTCGTTCCCCGTCACTACGCCATCTGATATACTACCACTTTCTTGCGCTAGTTATATCAATCATGGCCTTCCGTTACCTCGCGTTAAAGCCGTTGTTGTCTACCATGTCCAAGGTGGTCGGGCCCGAGATTGCCTGTGACATGTGCGTTTCGGTCGTCGGTGGAGTCCACGTGGAGGCATTTAGCCCTCGTTCCACCAAGGATAGCTCAAATTCGTCTTATTATTCTGTTTCGGGCGCACCAAATTTACTCACATCCAAGTTATAACAGGAAGCCGACCTCCTTATCCCAAAGAGCGCTCGCTGGAACCGATTCAACATCATCAATGAAGTCGCCAGGCAGGACCCTCGCTTCACAGTCAACATGGAGGCGAAGTACGGCGTCACGTTCAAGGAGGGCGACGAAGTCTATACCTTGGACCTCATGGACGACGAGGCGGTAAGTCCGAGTTTCCCGTCTTCCTCCTCATTGCGCGACACTGACCAAGCCACTCTGCGCAGGCTATGTGTCTGCCCGAGGGCACGCTCCTCGAAGAGGCTGTCCAGCTCGAGACTACGCCCTTGCCCTACGTCGTCGAGGCTATCAAGCTCAAGCTCTTCGCCGCCCGCCGATCGCCTCATCCTCACCAAGGCGATCAAGGATTTCCTCGATGATGTTGCTCTGCTTCTGAAGAAGAGTTGGGAGAAGAGTATCGACATGAAGTACGCCGACGATGCTGAGCGCGAGAAGGCCAAGTACGCTTTCGACTCCATCTGGACCAGGTACCAACACGCCAGGACCAACTCTGAGGGCGGCACCGTCTGGACCGAGGCCCAATGTCCAGCGCAAACGCGGAAAACTTTGCAATCGTCTGCCGACCTTGGCTTGTGCCAATATCCACGCAAAGTCCCTCGACGATGCTGCAGGGGACAAATCTGACGCCGAAATAGCTTGCCGGAATCGTCCAAACGTCTTCGCCGCAGAACGTCTCCCTCATGAGCAGGATTCTAGATCCCGACGACGGCCGTGCAAAATATGATGATGTATGATACAAGTCCGATAACAAACTCGAGCGAACATGGTAAGAATTACAAGTGGTCATTGATGCTAGTTCGTCAAACATGATCAGTCGCTTAAGTCTCTATACCCGTCATGGAGTCCCCCTGTGACCCATCAGCGTCCTCGTCACAGGGATCGCCGTCCTCCTCTTGCGTCGGAGGCTAGCAGGGCAGGCCCTACAAGCGTATTGTCGGAGTCCGAGTCGAGGGACGTCGGTGAATCTGGCGATGATGAAGCAATCGCGTCAGAGAAGGAGGCCAGACAGAAAAGAAGCGATAACTCTCACCACGATTCGAGCTAACGCTACCGGCTTGATCGTCAGCAGCTATGCGGCAACCTCGCGCTGATCCGTCGTCCCTCCGCGCCCTCTTCTGCGGCAGCATCTCCTCCGACAAGTCCAATACGTATTCTCCGCGGATCGACGGCTTCGCCACCTCGTTCACCTCTCTCTTGCGTTTCCGCGGGCGGGCTGGTGCGCTGAGGTGCTTCTCGGTGACGACTGGGGTGTACATCTTGCCGCGGGCCTTTACATGGTCGGCCCAGCCTATGGCGTTGGAGATCGTCGACGAGCGTTGGAGATGAGAGCGACGGGATCATCAAAATCAGTCGAAAGGGTTGGGGGATTCTAGCTTCAGCAAGGTCGATGCCTTTATACCCCTCTGGCGACACAGCATCGATATAATGACTCAAGATGGCGTGCTCGACGACCGCAGGACGTGTGTCCCAAGTATTACCAAGGGGCGGCTGATTCACCTATCTCGGTCATCAATGGCCGTTCATGGAAGCATTCCATGCTGCAGGCGGTGTATGACCGCGGTCTGGGCCTGTGTTGATCGGCTACAGAACTGCGGATCGATGGCACCTGTCGAGTTCTAGGCCATATTGGCTTCTGGAGGACACATGACACGGGGCAACGCAAGATCCGATGGAAACCAGCGCGCTTGACAGGCTACCTATGCCCCTTGACATGCGGTACAGACTCAGTGAAACACCGCCGTAAAGGCGACGATAAATGGATGGCATCAAATGGCGATGCAAGGTCTGGTTTGCTAAGACTTCCGTTTCCATCGGGGCCGGATCTTGAACCGCAAGAACTCATGTCAAGCACGACCTTGTGATGTCTGGGGTCGAAACGGGGTGTGGAAGAAGCAACCCCTTGCACATGGTCTATGGATCATCGTCAGCCAACAGCTCCTCCTCCCCGCAGCAGCCTCGAGGCCAGAGAAGCACAGCATCCGCATGGTCCATCAGTCAGTCTCTTCTGTCCGCAGCATCTATTTCCATCGCCCGTGGAGATTGTTTGCTGGTGATATAGAACAGCCGGCTGGGCGCCCCAACACAGGTCTGCTGAAACGTTGCGGGCATATCGGGGATGCGTAGAAACGCACCGCATGGGAATTACAGCTCCAGTGACGGATGACGATGCTCTCAATGGGTGTCTGGATTGTCACGACGGCCAGACCAATACGGAGGGGCAGAGGCTGTGGGTTGAAACGAACACAGCTGCCACAGCGTCGACCGTGTCCGGCCTCGGCCCTCCTCAGAGGTGACTTTTACAAAACCGGCTGATTATTTCCCTCTGCGACTTAGCCCCCAATCCCTCTCCGCAACAAGGACATTAAAATTATTCATGTAAGTAAGATGCTGCCTCCCTCTGCTTCTGGGCCTAACTCTACGAAGGCACTGGAGCCACTGGTTACATTGGGGGCGACTTCTTGTACCTCGCCTACCCAAAACATCCAGAGTGGGAGTTTTCTCGCCTGGTGAGGAACACGACGAAGGGCGCCAAAGTCGCCCCGACATTCCCCAAGGTCCGGCTGGTGTACGTTGACCTCGATGCCGTCAGTCTCATAGAGGACGAGGCGGCCCAGGCTGACGTGGTCTACCATTTTGCCAATGCCGATCACGCCCCTTCGGCGACAGCGATCTCGAAAATGTTACGAACCGACCATATGGGAGGCCAAGGGAGAAACAAGGAGGAAGGTTAACCGAGAGGAACATGTCAGACACCAGCGTCTTGGCAACATGTTGGCATGACCGGGCTGGGCAATAGAGCAACGTGCCTAAAGAGGCTCAGGAACATGTTGACATGTTTGGCACTGTCCAGCAGAGCAACATGACAAGCATGTTTCTCAAATGGTATATAGCCACGCTTGGTTACATAGCTTTCCTCGTAGTCAATAAGAGTTACACAGAATCGAGTTCCTCACGATTATCTGCTATACGTATAGGTCTGCATACTATACTCTTGGTTTCCTGTCTCGGCTACATCGCCCTTCCCTACTATATCACCAAGTAAACCACCTCGGGTTTGCCTGTGGACACCTCGCGTGTCATAGCAGCTCGTAACAGAAAAGTCTATGACGACTGGGAGAACATCCACGAGCTCCTGTCCCTTCTGGATAAAGCGGTTCATCGCAATGTCGACAAACTCGTCCTGGCTACGGGATCGGAGAAGGTCAGGACCGCCATTGTCTCGCCTCCCGACGATACATGGTCCAGCTCGAGGGCCGGACAATCAGCGTTCGATCCAGACCCCTCGATTCCTGAAGGCCTTCCTGCAGGCTCGTCGAGGCTTTCGGGTCGAGAAAGGCGAGAATATCTGGCACTACGTCCACGTTCAAGGCAGATCCAATCTATACTTGTTGCTGGGTGAAGCGGCTTCGCTCGGTGGGCCGCCGGCAACTTGGAACGACCAAGGTTGTCATCTCGCCGAGGCCGGTTCGTTTGCCTGGGGCGACATTCTCAGTAGACTGACAGAGCTCGGCCATCAAAAAAGCGTGCTGGACAGTCCTGAAGCCCCGGTTCTGGATCCGGATGGGGTGGACAAGCTTGTGCTGCGAGGTAAATACTTGGCCGGGACCAATTCACGCGGTATTTCGCTACGTGGCAAGAAAATTCTGAGGTGGCAACCGAAGATGCCGGTAATAGAAGATAGCCTGTCGGATGCTATCGACGTCGAGGCACATTTACTAGGACTTTCTAGTGTTAGATTGTGAAAGGGAATGTTCCTTGTTGCCAATTTGAATGGATCTAGGGGGATCGGCCGTCTATTTACTTGGCAGGACTGCTGCGATGAGCTGATCAAGTAGCACACCATTGCAATACGAGATCTCAAGTTTTGAAAGAGGTCTGTTTCTTCTTACAACACCGGTAGTCACTCCTCATCGGCTCCCTTATGATCGTGATTTTCGCGGCGCATTATGACCGATGCGAGGAAGATGTTGCTTATACTACATTCGTGAGCGTCCCCGCCCCACACTGCGGTGTCCTTGTTCGTAGCCGAGTTTGGATCTCCGGACACATGCAAAACAGGTAAATGGTCTAGGAAAAGCTCGAGGACGTTGTCTCGTGTCTGCGGACAGGTGTGGGTCAGCACGCAGTTACCGTTGCCAATTTGCGACCATTCAAGGGATCAGTGTAGGATGGGTGGAGGGGGAATGGGTAACATCGGGGAAAGGACTGGAACATACCCGGTAGCAACGATAGGCAAAATTTAATCCAGAAGTTCTTCGTCGGAGAACACGCCAGCTTCGACCAGGCATGCGAGCGTGTCAATATGTTCACGTTCCAGCTCCATCTTCTGCCACAGCCGCTTTTCCTGAACGGATTGCCGGGACAAGGCTCGCCACTCCTTGGTGATTCTCGCCACGCGGCGAGAGGCGAGGGGGCATAGTATATCGGCCGCAAGACCGCCGAGTCCGACGTGCACGGTCGACCAGGCCCGGATGTCGGGTCAATTGGAGGTGAGCTCAGCATAGAGACTGCTGATCGTGTCGTTGGAATGTTCCAGGATGTTGAAATCCCTTCCCAAACCGGCGACGCCGATAATGTCCAACGTAGCTTTGCGAACCCAGTCCTCAGCATCGGTCACTCCAAACGTCCTTCCATTAGCCTCGTCCAAAGACGTGTCCGCAAAAGCACCGGCTTCGATGGTCTGTGTCATTTTGACGGCTTTGTCCCAAAACAAAGGGTGCAGCGTCTTAATTTGGCGAAAGGCGAAATTCAGGAGACCGTGCTTCCGTTAGCGTTAGTGATGTATTCCTTCGGCAGCAACTAGACCATCTCCAATGGAGCGCCGCAGAACTTCTCCGCTGTTCCCAGGCTTGGGAAACTCGTAAGTCCTTGCTACCAGGACTTCGGCAAGGGCTTTGGTATTAGTCACCAAGACGTGATCACTCACCGTTGAGAATCCCTTTAAGCCGAATCAGTCCGTCATTGGGAATATCATGCATGAAATCCAGATAGTCTTCACCACGCGGAAACTTGAATTCCCAGGTGGTATGAACGAGGGTAGGGTTCGCACCCTATTGGAAGAAGTCAATGGGTTTGGTTTCTCGTAGGGGGAAATGGATCTTTCATCCGTTGTAAGACGCACCGGCGGACACGGGAGATTTCGAAGTGGACTCAAATAATGAGGATAGACCACCAGAACATAAATCAATCAGACTGACGAATTCAGCGGGAGCATTAAGAGGAATGCTGTGGTGGTGCGGCGTGGTGCCCAAGGGAAGGGTGTGACTGACCCGAGGACGAAGCCTTGAGTCAAGGCGGAACCCAGCACGAGCAGTGACCATTATGAGAAGAACAGCCAGACTGTTTATGGTCTAAAAACCATCTGGATCATATAAGTAGAGTGTCTCTCACCGACTGTTCAGCCGTTTCTGAGCCTATACATGAATATTTCAAGCTCAGGATGGGTATCACGGCCAGCTTGATGGGCAAACCCGCACGAGGCTGGCTATCCCACACGAGGCTGGCTATCCCGCACAAGGCTGCGCGCACCTTTGTCTTTCGTGCCGTCGCAGTCACACTCCTTAGACTCCTTTGTCTCAGAATTCATGTCTCAACTACACCCTTAACAGCGATCTCTCCTGTTCTAGGTTGCGCCGTGGTAATGGGGCACGTAAACCTATTCGAGATACGGGTGAAGCTGAGCGCCCTGCAATTCGAGATACGACAAACGCATCGAGACTCCGCCATCGCTGTCGTCAATCTCCCTCCCGAAGCCTCCCATCACTGAAATCCTCCTCCTCACGCACACATGTGCAGCAGCAGAAGCCGATCACAGCGCAAAAACATCGCGTTCCCGCTTTGCCGAAACAGGTAGCAACCCTCCGGCGAGGGTCTGAGGTGGAGGCGTCGAGAGGACCGGTCTCGTATTGGCCGCAACTTCCTGCACCAGAGCGCATGTTAAAAAGAACTGTCCTCGTCAAAAGAGAGCAAGCATACTGAATCCCTCACGATTCTGGGTGACAGGACCGGAGTAGCCGGAAAATTCCCGCACAGAGAGCATTCCGCACCACCTCCTTTTTCCTCGAGCCAACGTGCTGGGTGTGCCCGAGAACAGGTCATTGCATGACAAGTAGATCAGCAACCAGATCGCACCTCGGTGTCGACGGAGGCAATGACAGTTCTCGGTTCGCGACGCGTATCAGGGCACAGGTCTTGTGGTCGATACTTCTTGAGGAAGAGAAAATGTATTTTCGATCCGTCCGGGGACGGTTGCATTCAGTGTCAACGGTCACGAACCAAGTGCACCATACTACGCGCCAAAACTCGGCCAGGTCGGCGGCCATAACAAGAAGGTCTCGGTCCCCATGCTTCCTTGCACGTTGGGGAGGCCATCAAGCGAACCACTCCGGTACTTCTGGATCCGACGACACGAGGCTCAACATAGCCCATGCTGTTAAGCCCCCTATAACTCTGATGATGCTAGTAGCGTGGCCAGCAGCTCCAAGGCGGCCGAACAATCAACCGCAACCCAGAGCGTGATGGAGCCGCAATTACAACCAACCAGCCTATCTCCATCTCCATCTCCCATGTTCCATCTGGTGGGTTCTGATCCCCGCCGGTCCTACATGGTCACTCTCCTCCAGCCGGCGAACCTAGACCAGTTCATCCACATCACCGACACCATCATGCATACCCCAGCCTTTGGCCCCCGGTCTCAGACCGCGCTACAGTATTCGTTGCGTTACTCAGCAATATCGCTCAACAAATCCTCTCAAGCCATGTTGTCGGCCCTTCTATGGGCACGCCATGTCGCCATCACGTGGGATCAGGTAGATCTCGAGAGCGGCGCCAGTTCTCTTCAGCATTTACGGACTGCCAGTGTCAGCAGCGTCGAGGAGGCTCTCGCAGTGGCCATGTTCGGGCAGACACTGACTGCCAATGACACCATCACGACGGGTCGAGGCTCGTCATTGATCTTACGACACAGCCTGACCTTGCTCAAGCCTCGGTATCCGGCTCTGGTTTCGAATCCATTTACCGAGACCATCACGACGGCGCCTATCCGATCGGCCGAACGGAATATTCCTACGAATCCTCAACCCAGACCCTGCGTGACCTGTCCTACCACGAATTCCAGGGAATAATCGCCGCAGAAAAGGTGGAACACTAGTTAACATGGGGGGGTTGCCCAATCGGACGAAGAATGGCCTGATCTTACAGGGCAAATCCAATTACGCAGTCTGGTTGCCTGAAGTGGAACTGCATGCCTGGGAGTGTTACAACGCGGTATCCAGGCCTGTTATGATCGATCCAAACAGTCTCAACGACAAGGATCAACTCAAGAAAACAGGAGACTTTCTCGCTTGCAAGCAACCACGCCCAAAGGAGGGTTTTCGAGAGCAATGGTTTTACACTTGACCATGGCTCAATGCACAGTGCAGTGACCGGCCGGATACCCTAAAGCGGTCTGTTGATCAAGAATGCAGCTTCGCTAGCTCTGGCGTATCGGTTTCGTGGTCGGTGGACCAACCGAAATGCCTCTGAAGAAGGCCTCCCCGACGTATCGCAATATTTTCGACGCCTCCTCTGGCAGATTCCGTGGTGAACATGGTCGATCCCGTCTCCGAATACAGAATATACATAGGACCGATAAGAGCCTCGTCCTTTTGCGATAACACATGTGGGAGATTTTGAACATGGTTTGATCGAGACGTGTTCAATATGACATTGTCTACCTCGGTTAACTCCGAGGGCGACGGTGCTGCGACTTCAGTAGTTGCAAACCAACCTTCGCGATTTGAGGCATTGTTACAAAGTACGGAACTACAAAACCTACGGCATACTGCCATGCACGATACCCTCTTATTTGCCACACGTCAGCAAGGCTATTATACGAGCCAGGAGCTCGATCCCCGAAGCGACAGGTTCGATCTGGGAGCATGGATGAGACACAAGGTTGAACAATTCGAAGCGGGTGATATCAAGAGACGGAAAACGGGTGTCATCTTCAGGGACCTGTCCGTCTCCAGGTCTGCGGCCCAGATTAAGGTGCTGGCTGCAGAAGACTGTTGATTTCAAACTGACCACACCTTTCCACCTCGCGGAACTGTCGCAGTGCCGACGGAAGCACCGGAAAATCCTGCAGAACTTCAATGGCCTCGTCAATTGCGTCGAGATATTACTTGTCCTGGGTCGACCAGGCTCGGGATGCTCCACATTCCTCAAATTCATGTCCGCAAGCTATGGCGGTCTTGTTCTGGCCAAAGAGAGCGTGATCAAATGGCAGGGGAAGCACGCACTGCCCCAGTCTCCCTACACACTCGGTTACGGAATGCAGGTGCCAGGCGCGTATACCAGCGCATCTGGAACGATGCCACCGCCACGGCGACCACGGTCGGCGGCAACGTGGTCATGTGGCTGATCATCGCTTCACTCTTATACGGGACACCGTTCGGCACCCTAGCCTTTTTCGCCAAAAGCTCGCTGCTGCTCTTCGCCGTCCTCCTGAACTCGCTTCTCACCGTCACAGAGATCAATTCGCTTTACACTCAGCGTCCCATTGTCGAGAAGCACAAGACATATGCCTTCTATCATCCGTCCACGGAAGCCCTCGCAGGCATTGTGTCCGACATAACCATCAAAATCGCCTCGAACATCGTTTTCAACCCGATCGTTTACTTCCTCGGTGGCCTGAGGTATGAGGCCGGGCCGTATTTCATTCTCTTCATCGTCAACTTTGCCACGCTCCTTACCATGAGCTGCATATTTAGGACGGTCGCAGCAGCAAATAAGACCATAGCCCAGGCTCTTGCTATTGTAGGGGCCTTCCTGCTCGCAGTGGTCATCTACACCGGGTTTGCAATTCCACCATTGAATATGCACCCATGGTTTATTGAATCACTTGGATAAACTCTCTAAGTTTCGCATTTAAAGCGCTCATTGTGAACGAATTCCACGGAAGGGATTTTCCGTGTTCGAATGTCATTCCGGCCTACCTCGGTTTCAGCACCGGCGTCGGCGTGGTGACTGGCGACATGTTGATTAACGGTGCGCCACTTAAGTCGAGCTTCCTGCGTAAAATCGGCTATGTTTAGTAATAAGATCTCCATTTACATACATCGACCGTGAGAGAGGCTCTTCAACCGAAATCGACACCAGTGCAAGAGAAGTATGAATATGTGGAGAAGGGTAGGCGCAACGAATTGATTTCGAATAGACATTGATGATTGACTTGATCGCCAGTGATTTAGATGCTGGACGAGACCGAATTTGCTGGAGCAGTCATTGGCACTCCCGGTCAAGGGTTGAACGTCGAGCAGCGGAAGCTCCTGAAGATCGGCGTCGAGCCCGCGGCCAAACTAACTGTTCTTCTGTTTCTGGGAGAGCCAACGTCGGGTCTTTACAGTCAGTCCTCCTGGACGATCGTTTCCTTCCTCCGCAAGCCGTCCTGTCGACCGGATGCACCAGCCCTCGGCGACCCCCTTCGAACAGTTTAATCGTCTGCTCTTCCTCGACCAGGGAGGGTGCACTGTCTACTTTGGTGATGTCGGTCAGGATTCGTCTATGCTGCTAGACTACTTCCACAAGAATGGGGCGCGTCGGTGTGAGACCAGCCAGAACCCGGCAGAGTATATGCTGGAGATCGCCAGAACGGGAAGAGCTTCGAATGATTAGAAGACGGACTGGCCGGCTATCTGGCAAGCCAGCTCTGAAGCTGCCGTGCTCGAAGCTAAGCTGGACCGGCTCCAGCATACTCTAGCGGAAAAACACATCGACATTCAGCAAGACAACATCGACGACACCGCTGCAATCCCTGTCTGCAACACCATTTCACCACCATCAACGCCTGGAACCCGCTCAAGGCCAGTCCGAAGCAGTCGTAAACCCGTGCACTATACCGTTGACTCTAGTGATTCCAATTCCGAGCGCTCTCCGTCACCTACTGCGCCCCGATGGCCTTGAGACCCACTGGTTGACTCTGCCTGCGAAGACGCAACAATCCCTGCCATGCCTCTCAGCAATCAATTCGTCACCGTAGCGACTCGAATGTTCCAACAATACTGGCGAAGACCGACCTATATTGGTAGTAAGTACGCGCTGGGCATCGCTTCTGCACGTGCGTCTTTCTTGGCCACTCTTGTCGTGCACACAATGGATGTCACTGACTACCACGCTTATAGTCTTCATTGGATTCTCCTTCTATTTACCCAGCGCGTCGATCCAGGCGATCCAGTCGATGATGTTCTCCATCTTCATGTTGAGTGCCATCCTCATGTTGACTGCCATCTTCGCCGCCCTCGTCCAGCAAGTCATGCCTCAATTCATTTTTCAACGCGATCTCTACGAAGTGCGGGAGCGACCGTCATAAATGCAGCACTGGTCCGTCTTCATCGTCTCCAACATCATGGTCGAGAGCCCAAACGCCATCTCCCTCGGCATCCTCGTGTTTGCCCCCTTCGACTACCCGACTTTTGGGATCACATCATCTAAGCGACAAGAGTTGGTCTTACTTTTCTGCATCCAATTCTTCGTCTTTGGCTCGACCTTCGCCCACATGGTCGTCGCCGCGTTGCCGGACGCGGAGACGGCCGGCCAGATTGCCACCATGCTCTTCTACCTGGCCTTAACGCTCAACGGCGTCTTGCTTCCCCCGAAGGCTCTCCCGGGATTCTGGATCTTCGCGTACCGCGTCAGTCCTCTAACTTACCTGGTCAACGGTGTCGCCATTGTGCTCAGCAGACGACAGGTCCAGTGCGCGGCGAACGAGCTGAGCCGTTTCAGCCCGCGCCGAACATGACTTGTGGCGAGTACATGGTGCCGTACCTCCAGGCCGCAGGACCATCGGCAGGAACCCTGATTCACCCCGAGGCGTCCCGAGACTGCGAATATTGCCCGTTGCAATTGACCGATCAGTTTCTGACGGCGAGGAATGCCCATGCAGAAGATGACTGGCAGGACTTCGGCATCGTTTGGGCGTTCATCGGATTCAACGTCCACTTTAGCCGCAGTCTTCTTCCATGGCGAACACGGGAGCCCCTCAGATCCTTCCGAGGGTCTCCCACACGCGTGACGGGTAAAGAGACTTTCGCCGCTATTGTCAAGCTTTGTCGCTCGCGGTATATCACCCAGCAGGGTGGAATGGATTGATGCCAATATCAAGAGCAGTGCAGCTGTGATACCGGCGGTCCTGAGACGCACGGCCCCAACACCTCCAATGGCAGATTACAGCGCGATTCCAGACTTCGACTCGTTGCCTAAGGTTGAAGGACTCCCACAAGACTGTGCCCTTGGGCCTCTTCGACCGGGATGGGAAGAAAGACCGGCTCGGATGTCTCAACTTCTTGACTCAGGACGTGGTGCGCGAGGCACTACGAGAAGTCCGCGACGGTGTATGGGGGCGTTGAACTGGGGGATTGGGGCAATCAAGAAGCCCGGGTTCGGGCGGAAGGGGTTGAAGCATACGATCATCAATTTCAAAAAGGGGCCGCAAACATGTGGAAGTTCGGCACCCACGCCATATCCGTCCGAGATCTCGAGCAGGTAGCCGAGTATCAGGGGACGCGGTTGAAGCGCGGTGACATCCTGATCACCACAACCGGCTTCACCGAGGACCTGGCAGCCGAGCGCGACGTGGACTGCAGATGCCAGTCAACGAGAGCGCGCTCCATCGGACTTGCCACTCCACAGCCCGGGGCCGGCGCTGCCATTGCGAGCACGTTCGGACTCGTCCAGATCACAGATGGTCATAGTTCCGCTGGTCCAGGGAGGTTAGAAGGCCATCAGATACCCAGCATTGTAACTTGGCCTCATTCGCCTCTTCACTTCGATGCAAAAGAAGCCATGATTCCTGGAGCTGACACTGTTGCTAAGCATACGATACTACTCAGCGCCCGCCGGCCTGTCGAAAGAGGAGGTGCAAGGGAGAATAATGGATCTTTGAAGAACTTTGACAAAGTGCGCACCCGTTCCTCGGTCCAGTCCAGACGAGATGTCCTCCGCTCAGCTTCACCGACGCCCCTTGGGTCGTCATCCTACAAGGCGAACCACCACAGCCTGCCCAGGCTGAAGAAGTCCGCCTCGGATGGCTGCCGCCTGTACATGCTGCTCTGGGCTGCTGCTCCGCCCCAACTCCCGTCTGCGTCCCCAAGGCCGTTTCGATTCCATCTCCCGCACGACAGCCGCGTCCCTCGCACAGGCGTACCACTGGCCCTCGGCACCCGTCCAGGAGCACACGAAGCGGTCTACCTTCCGACAGCGAAGGTGCAGTTCCCTTTCAGAGAACCCATCACAAGGTAAGTCACGCTTCTATAAAACGATCCCCAGGTTCCATTTCTGCCTTGTTTTAATCACGAGCCGTGATCCCCTGGCGAAGCACAAAGACTCGACCGAGTTGATCGCCCATAAAGACCGTGTGGGCATTACCTGCACAATGTATGTCTTACTCCTCGGGTGGAACGAGCTAACAGTTGCCCGACCTATCGTGCCAGTTTCCACCTCATCGAACTGATCGCCCTCAACAATAAACAGCACGCGCCAGGCGCCGACCCGCCCTTTCGCCTGAGATATCAGCTTCCATGATCGGCTCATAGTTACTCACGCTGCTGGAAATTCACTAGGTGCGCTAGAGATTTTCATCCGAGCTCGAATCTGCACAATTTGGATCGCTTTCAATTCCTGGGAAAGTCAACCGGAGCGCGCTCTGCCCGTTTGCTTCCGGAACTTGTGCTTACGGTAATAACGCAGCCTTGGAGCTGGACACTGGACCGTTGGATTCCAACGACGTTTTGAGGTTGAACGCCGACACCAATCGACACCAAACATGCGCCCGACGAGGAAGAGGAAGAGGAGTCTAAGGACGACAGACCGGGCGGCCACGATGACGACGGCGACGAGGCCCTCGGCGAACATTGCAAGAAATTCGGCCGCTACGAGTTCCTCCTGACCAGCGTACCCCCGAACGTGCCCGGCAGAGTCGGAAGCCCACCGAACGCTCTCGCGATCTTCTAGGCAAATGATCACACAGCAATTACGGAGAAGGATGCATAGGTAGAAGAGGTCAGTCCAGAAGGTTATAGGAGTTCAGACAGTCGATGGCACATCCTACCATGCTCCCAAGGTCGTCTTTGCAACAGGTATGAACGGTCGATCGACGCGAATCGGCACATTTGCCCTGAAACGTCTTACCTCTTGGAAGGGACAGGGTGTCTGCTTCGGGGCTCGCTGTATATCTCTGTCGCGGACACATGCTCAATAACATGTCCGCAAACGAGGCCGCATCTCTCATCGCCTTCACAGTTGAACGCGACTTCATCAATGGCAAAAGAGCCAATCGTCCAGGGCACGCAGCACTTGCAACCGCGAAGAGTCTCTGCAGCCGTATAACGTTCCTAGGCCTCGTCTCTATGAAGCCGCAAACCCAATACACACCCGTGACGAAAATGCCAACCGCAACCGCCAGAGTTGGCGACAAGGTCATCGCCTCCTCGTCCAGCTACCAAACCGTCGAGGGCAACGTGTACTTCCCGCTGTCGACGCTGGCTGACCCGTCGATGCTGGCGTCGCCCACCACGCACTCGCCTTGCCCTTCTACAGGCAAGGTGAACTATTAAATCTCAAGATGGTTCCCCTGAAGATGATTTCTTGAGACCAGGACAATGGGTGTCGAAGACCCCTGGAATCACAAAGCTAATCATCATCAGCCCGCACAAAGCCAACACTTTTTTCCATGCGATTCCAGAGTCGAAAGACAAGCCAGTTACGTCGAAAGGGACTACCCTACATCTATATCAAGCCCGAACGTCACGAGGGATGGTTTCCTTTGATACATTAGATATATACAAGTTTCCAGGAAAGAACACCCCCGAGAGGATCGAACCACAAGCCATTGCTCTACTCGGTCTCTTTACAGGCCAGCTGTACTTCTCTTCATTCGAGCACTACAGAGAGTTTTGTGCACTCGTCGGTCTCTTTGACGGAGAACGACCACTGGTCCGCAAGCGGTAGGTCGCAACCGAAAATTTTGTTTCGCCTGCTTGCAGAAAATCGAGCGGCTGGACGGAGTGCACCGCGCACATTAAGGACCACGTCGCGTTTTGTAAGTCATCACCATCACCTTTGTTCTTTGTGCTCCTCACCGACGTATGTCATGTGGGAGACAAGGATCGATTTCGACTGCGTGGGCTAGGGGGGCGGGACAACTGGACTAGCAGGAAATGCTCGAAACCACAGAAACATCCCATCACCTCTCTGCCAGCCTTCGTGGTGTTGTACACCGAGACCAGCATGCTCCACGAATCATACAACCTCATGGCGAGGAATATCACCAGATCTGGCGGGTACGAGCCAGCACTATTGCTTGGTTTTGTCTCCGATTGCTGCTCTGCATCTAGGACTAAGTCAATACCCATATTGGTAGTCAACAGTCAAGGTAGGTTGGCTTTGTGTCACTCTATCACTGCCTTGCCGACACTGTCACAGCCTTGCCGACACTGTCACTACCTTGTCCGGCACTGCCTTTGGGCGCGTCTGAACCCCATAAAAGGTTCAAACATTTCTTCCATGGTTGTCTTTCTTCATCATTCGCACTCATCATAGTTTACCCTACCAGTTCCAACTGGCTGCGAGCACCCTTGACTAGAATGACGTCCCCCTTGGTCCCGCACTTCGTTCCCCACTACCAGCCCTCGAGCCTGCCTCCAGCGCCAATGTTGCCGCCAGCACCGGTTCCAGGCAACCTAGACCAGCTCAAGACATACGTTGAGGGTATGAAAGCTGGTGAGTGTGGGCCTCAAATGGACGAAGATGTCGAATTCAACGTTTCCGTTCATGATTGGGACAAGTTGTGTAAGCAATACGACATTGAGGAGCGAGTCTACCGATACACCTACGATGCCTCCAAGTCGATTCTTACCCTCCACGGGCCCCCGTCGCCGGCGCATGAGATCATCGTCGAATTTCTCAGACACAGTCTCTTTCGAAATATCGACTATAGGCCGACGGTTCGAATCGCCACTGGTACGGAACTTATTGCTACAGAGGGAGAATACTCCTGGTCGAGGAAAGTACCTGATTTAGTGATTCTTGAAATGGACCCCCAAAAAGGCTGGATGTTCAAAATGACGTTCGAAATTGGCGTTTCTCAGACGTACCAGAAGTTGAAAGAGAATGTGGAGTTGATATTGAAGGGCACAGGCTCAGTGGCTCAATGTATCCTGGTGAAGTTGACCGAGACACCAGAGTATAGGTGCCCGCTATCTACGGAGGCAAGAGCTGAGAAGGCTTGGAAAGCACCGCGCACAATCGAGGAAGACGAGTTTGAGGGTAAAGGGTATGGGCCTATTCGCTTCCAAGGTCAGCAATGGGTGGGCAACATCTCGGAAATCTTCTGGGAGGCATGGAAATTAGACGCTGCCACCAACGAAATCCAATTAGACGGGGAGCGACAAATCATCCACCCGGCATCTCCGTCTATGCCTCGACCGGATATCCCACTTGGCCTGGCCCTCTCTGACCTCAAGCCGGAAGACTCGATAAAGTTAAACTGGGATTTCTTTGAAGCGGCCTTTAAGGCGATCATGACCAATTTGGCCAGACATCGATACAGCGAATGGTACCACAAAACGGAGGGTGATAATCTGAAGGACAAGGACAAGGACTACGAGGAAGAGGATGAGGATGAGGAAGAGGATTAGGAGGATCAACATGGTAAGAAGAAATGACGGATGAAGTGGCGGATGGGATGAATTCGTCTCAGACCCCCTCCCCGGGGAGGAGGATGGAGGTCGATTCTCGAGAGGCGGGGACGACGGGGATTCGCGGCCGATCAACTCCTTCCGCCGTGGGCCTTCGTGGGAGGTGGGTAGAAGGCGGACATCATTGCTCGCTCGCCACACGAGTTGGAATGGGATACGAAAGAATAAACGTTACCGACAATTCTCACCGAAGCCAACTTGGGCGCGAGCGCGACTAATGTTCGAGATGATTGTGAAGAAGATAGATAGGACAGGCTCGATAGAAGAGAACTTGGTCAATGACACAGTCTACACCATTCCGATATTCCCAAACCGTTCTTGCTTTCCCCCTGAGCAGATTTCCCAAGAACCTGTCCAGCAGGCTTCGTAGCACGAACCCAAGACCGAGCCGCCCATTTCCTACGCTCGTACCATGATCGTCCCCTAGGTTGTCAGCCATCTCTCCGTGGGCTCACCGAGTCATGCACAATACTCATCCATTCCCTCCTGGATTAGCTTGCCTAGCTAGCCAGACAGCATCTCAAAGCGGCTCGTATTCAGGATGTCGTTCGAGATCACACACGTGGAAATCCCATAGATCATTACGACTGCGGCTCTTCATACACTTAGGATCGATCTGATGTTCTGTGATCGTGAATGCCCCGTCGTCGCTAGTCCGAACGGCCGATACACATCGCATTCTCTTATCGATCCTCTCGGTGTAGGTGATGGACCGGCAGGGCAGATTCGTCATCAGCATGCCCAGATGGCTCTTGACTCCCTCTTCCTGCACATGAACCGGAAGAATCACACCGTTGGAAGAATTGGGATCAAAGTTGTAATCTCGGTCGATCTCAATGTGGCGTGGACACGTGAAGTTTGGTTCCGCCGCGACGCGCGGGAGGTCTTGGGCCAGGTCACTCAGGGATACCCGGCTATTGAGCCGCAGCGTTTCGAGCCCCGCGGGAAATCGGAAGAAATAGTCGACGGGGCACCGGCAGTGACTGGAGAAGCTCAGTTCTTGGAGTCCGGTCAGCCGCGTAAAATCATACGGGCGAGACCCATCCGCCCCCCAGATATCATAGGTGGCCGCGCCATGCACCTTCAGCGTCCGCAGTTGGGGTTGGTGCCGTGTCAGCGCTTCGAGGACTTTTTTGAGGCTCTCGGCTCGGACGTCGTGGGGATTTTGACTCACCGCCACCACGAGGCTCTCGAGCGCTTTTGGCAAGTGGAGGAGGGCGGACACGGTCGTCGGGCTCGTTTCGGACGTGAACCCGCGCGTCGGATCCAGGTCACCACTCACCAAGAGCGTCAGATGCTTCAACGGGGTGGATTGGACGGGTGGCAGGGGAAATCGACGCGTCTGGCGGATCGTGGGGAACGACACCTTCAAGCTGGTGAGGTTTGGCGCCCGCAGGATGGGCGTAATCTCAATCGTGTTGGCTTGCAGGGATATCAATGTACATTCCCGCAACTCGGTGAAGGCCCCCGTGCCGCCGAGCAAAGCCTTTTCCAGTTCCTCGAAGACACTGGACTCTTGCAGATCAACATGCTCGAGTGGTCGCAGGATGCCATCCACATCGGCCAGCTTCGTGTTCGCACAGACGTGGATCGCCTGGAGCTTCCGGAATTCGGGGATCAACGAGATCATCTTTTCTTGGCCAGGGTTGGTGCCGCGGCCGGAGGTGGTCTCATCGGCCCTGCCGGACGACCTCAGAGGGTGAATAATTATGGTCCTCACAAGGTCATGTTGGTGTGGGTGCCTTCTGAAACTGTCGGCTTGTTCTCCTGCAAATTCGGGGTGGATAATGTCCAGGACCTTGAAAAAGGTCCGGTCGCATAGGTCCCACAGCCGTCTGCATGTCTGGCGAAGTGATCCGACGTCCTTTGGATGCCCGTCTTTGTCTTCCAGTAGCTCGATGACTTGTACCCATATTTCATCGGGAAGCCCGAGCGTTGTTTTGATTGGAGGTGGAACCATAATCCTGAGTTGTTTTTCGTCTTCACTTTGACGTTGTGCCATAATCCTGAGTTGGTCAGCGTATTATCAATGTATGGAGGAGGGACTTGCTGGGAGAGTCAGAGGCTGGTAGTATTTATGTCAGAAAACAAAGTCCCACAAGGTATGAGTCCAAGGCATGAACACAAGGCAGTTGGGTCAGGAAGGCAACTGAGTAAACAATGCACGCGACAAAGGAAACAAGGGGAGGCAACCGAGTGAACAAAGCAGTCGCGAAACCCAGCGCTCAAGTGAACAAAATATTGGAGTGAAGAAGCATGTTCGCTGCTTGGAGAAGCCTGATGCCTCTTATAATTGCCGTTATCGTTCTCGCTCGTGTCCTGGGTTTTGGCCTCATGCTTGATGCTCGTGTGGGACTATCCGAATGTAGATAGCCGTATCTACTTTTATTGATCAGATAAGCTTGCAATCATCAGTCAGAGTGATACAAGGCCCGAGGAATGGAACGTCGGGCAAGGACAGCAACGGTCCTGGTCCCCAAAGCAGTCGCTGACTAGCAATAAGCTGGCCATATGATCATCATGTGGCGAACATATCGATAGATACGATCGTTCATCGATACCTTTTCGTATCTGGAAAGCGGCTGTCCGCTTGAATTGTGCCGATGAGGGAAGGTGAAGCGAGCTGTTCCGACTGTGTATATCATTCTTTCTCAGTAGTTCAATTCTGCATCATATCTACTGGCCAAGACGGTTCCTCAACTCAGGAGCATAAGAGTGAGCGCCACAGCGACGCAATTCTTTTCGGCAGATAGCATGCCCGCAACCATGACTTTCGTCCATTTCTTCATTTCCACCAATTCCCCACAACTCTCTGAGGGCCGATGATCGCCAACCACTTTTCCAGCCCGTCTTCTTCTCAATCATGGCCAGGATTTCCAACGTTGCGAACTTTTCCGCACGGGTTCTTAGGTGTTGCCCACATATCCACATTGGCTGCAGGGAGTTCACCAAACAATCTCTATGGAGAAGTCAGCCTCGACTTGCCAAAACCCCATTGTAGCTGCGAGAGAAGTTACGCTTGACTGTTAGTTTCAACCACACCGCATGCTCTTCGAGCGTGGTAATATATTTCGTCCGCGCTATTCGTCTCCTTGTGAACACTCTTCTTCCTCTCAAAATCAAGAAGAAGCACAATTGCCGTCTCGACCATACAGTGTCCTATGGCCTTTCTCTAATTTCAGCAACGACTTGAAACTCGAACTAAGGGAGGAGCGGTTTTGCGGCTCACCGAACTATTGTTGGAAAGCAGTATCACTGGAAAAGTCTCGTCGTCTAGCCACGAGGACTGTCCCTCGAGGGGCGGGCGGGTTTCCGGCGAGCCTCTCTTATCCCATGTCGTTAGGGCACAGTGAAGCGCAGCAACTTCCCCCTGAACTGCTTCTGACCAATGATCCTTTTCCCGTGACAGCACATTCACCACTTTTGCGAAAAGCCATTGAGCCACATGTGCATGTGTATCGGGGTCCATGTCCTCCATCTCTGTCATCGCTTCTGGGTCATCGAACCAGATGCTTGGGTGAATGATCAGGGAGCTTTGTGAACAGAACGCGGCCCAGATATCTCAGATTATGTTAGCTTACTAAACGCCTTGAACACTGTTCGGACTGACCAATTCGTGTATAAGCCCAGAAACAAGGCGCGATGACTCCACCGGAAGATCCATTCCATTGATTACTGAGGAAGATACTTGCACAGCCTTTGAGATGCCGCCGCCAGTCGGTATGCATCGTATATGCAAAGGTCATCATCTCATACACAGCGAGGATGAGTATCACCCTCTCCCATTAAGTATCACCCTCTCCCATTAAGTATCACCCTCTCCCATTAAGTATCACCCTCTC